GTGGGTGGGTGGGTGGGTGGGTGGGTGGGTGGGTGGGTGGGCGTGTGCGTGTGCGTGTGCGTGCGTGTGTGCGCGTGCGCGTGCGCGTGCGCGTGCGCGTGCGCGTGCGTGTGCGTGTGCGTGTGCGTGTGGGGGTGGGGGTGGGGGTGCGGGTGGTGGGTGTGGGTGTGGGTGTGTGGGTGTGTGTGTGTGTGTGGGTGTGTGTGTGGGTGTGGGGGTGGGGGTGTGCTTCGGTCTGCCCACTGGCTCAAATCTAAACCAAATCAAAAACAAACTGCAAACACAAGATTGAAAAACAAGTTGGGTCTTGTGGCAAACTAGCTGACCCAAAAAACTGGTGGTAGTCCTATGGCTTCCCTTTCAACCGAGGTGAAAAGCACACCCTCCCATGCAACCCGCGGCAGATTCTTCCGAAGGAAAGGCCTGCGCTGCTCCAGCATCCGGGGTGCGGGGATCGTGGTGTCTGGCATAAAGTCCTCAAGCAGCCACTGGGATTTCTCGCTGACGGGAACCTCTGCAAATTGCACATTTTCTTATCTGGCTGGTGCATGGAAGCTTCCATGTTGCTCGGCTGCTCGGTGTTTTGTTGGCAAAAGGGACAATCCCTGCTCAGTTGCTCGTCCCCAAAATCAGCCCGTTCTGAGGGGCTCAATAAGAATTCAATTGAAGTTGTGGGGTGCTTCAAAACCAACTTCAATCGTAGTGGTTCGTTGATCGCTGCCATAAATCCCTATAACCTCTAAATGGGTATGGCCGAAACCCAGTTGTCCAGTGACCGTGGTAAACAAAGGTGGTTTTTAGGATCCCACCAAGCAAAAAACATGACTGGCTGAGCCCCGTGTTGATCGGAGGATATCCCATTTGAGAAAGGATCCGGACCGCTGCGGGGGAAATCGATCCATCTGCCAGGTTGACTATTGAGATTCGCCAAGAACAGACCTTCACTGCTGAGCTGTCTCGCAAGTGTTTTGCTATCGATTTGTCCCCTACGTTGGCAAGTCTCTCGGATTTGGTGGCGTCCATACCGTGAAAGCGCAAATTTTGCGTGCGTCGCGTTGCAAAGTGAGCTAACCGCCCAGGCCCTGAAGACCGGAAAAGCCTTCTGAACTTCTGGGCCCATGAATCGTGTGAAGCTCGCAGATTTTTGTCCCAAAAGAAGTCTTGCGAGCTTTTCCGACACCAGGCTGGAGCCCTGTCACAACATTCACCTACGACCCCCTAGGATGACTTTTTTCCACACCCTTGGGAAAATCGACGGATTTGCCGGGATTTTAGCTCCCGAACGGATTTTGCAACACCAAGCGGATTTGTTGGTTTTGGGGTTTGCCCACATAACCCCCCGATGCACGGCTGCCAGCCTCGCCCGCCGACCAGGTTGCAGAAGAGTTCCAAAACAACTAATGCGCGCAACGCCATTGTGCTTTTACGCCCCGTTCCGCCCACGCTTTCTGCAGAACAGCTGCAGGTCATTCACCCACGCTGCCCTACACAAAAGCAGATACCGCTCGATGGTCCTCACACACGTTTTGCGTGGGCTGCAAGACCGAGCAATGAGGGCCAGTCTCCCGACATAGTCCTCATCTAAGGCGCAAAACTCGCTAACTGGGTTGAATGCCAGCCCAGCTACGTCCCCCTGCCATTGGATATTTTTCAGAACGTGAAACATCATATGATGCTTCGGGGTGATTGGAAACAAATTTTCCTGCAAGTTGTATGATAGCAGCGCCAGCTTTGAGCTTGCCTGAAGGTAGTGGTTGCCAGCCGAAAGTATCACATTTCTGCTAGGCGTATCCAGCCATAAGTCATGATCGTAGAAGCCCTTCATCATGGCATTCAAAGCGCGCGTCCCCGAAGCAACCAGCGAGAGGCGTTCGTCGGTCCCCCCCTCCAAGTTCTTTTCCCTGCAAAAGTACTCAAGCCAGGAAGCCAAGGTTGTAGTGAGAGATCCTTTGCTCCACCTACCATCAGGGGTTCCGCCAATTTTGCTTTCCCAGCCAAGCGTTGCGCGTGTGATGCTGCTGATGTACTTCACCTTTCTCGGGGCCTGAGCACGTGAAAAAACTGGACGCGAAGAACGCTGGAAAAGACACGCATCATCGTTAGAATTGTAATCACAGTAGTGTAGCCATTGTCACCGCCATCATCATCATCATCATCATCATCATCATCTCCATCATCACCGTGCTCGTCATCATCGTCATCACTCACGATCATCATCGTCATCATCAGCGTCATCACTCACGCGCATCACGATCCATCACCCTCACCATCATCCTCACAACCACCATCACAACCATCATGACCGTTAACACCCTTTCCTGAGCGCCAGCACAACATCATCACCACAGTCATGACTATCCTCATCATCATCCTCACTACCATCATTTCATTTCCATCATCACGATCACCAGCATCATCACCGTCATCAACCTCATTATCACCAGCATCGTTGTCATGACTGCCGCCGCCACAAGCTTAGGCACGATCATCGCCATCATCATCACAACCATCAGCGCCGCCAGAAAATTTTCCCATCACCGTCATCATCACAAACCTTTGCAATAAAATAGGACCATCCGAACCCATTCCTGCGCTCACTCATCAGCAACAACGCCAACACCAAAAGTTAGAGACTGATGGAGCAACAACACTGCGGCTTAGAAGCTGAGTTCTCGCAAAAGCTGATGTAGGATGCCGAAATTTGCTGCAGCGCATGTTCAGGGGTCAGCCCGCTGAGCTCATCCAGGTTTCGCGTCAAACACACCACGCAGCTTGCAACCCAGCTTCGACCCACCCCCAGATTCACTGTATGCCACACATCTGGTTTGAAATAGCTGGATGGGCTCGCAACATCGCGGGGTAGAACTCGGGTGAAGCAGGGTTCGCGGTCCCATGGGGGCTCCTCGTCAATGGTTTCCATGAAGGGGGGGTACGCTGACCTGAATCAAGGACTGTCATCGTTGAAAAGGAGTGAAAGCGATGTTTCCAAACCGTATTTGCCGCTAGCAGGTCGCCCCAACATTATTTCTCCAACAGCAACATTCTGGAAAAATGCTGTAGGGGCCGCTTAATGATGCGAATTGTCAATTCTGCAGGAAAAGTGGGCTTGGAATCATTTGGCTATGGTGGGGTTTTTACGAGCGATGACCCAACTAAATGCTTGCGCAGAGCCAGGAAAGACATGTCGAATGCCAAAATCCCTGGCCTGGTTTGGGTTGAACCTGGAGGGGGAGCCATAACAATGGGGGGGGGGGCCGGGGGGGGCGACTAAACGGCCTTGAAGGGTTAGTCCAGTTTTTCAGGGTGGCAGTTATAGCTCGGTCGAACAAAGTCACATGCACTTGTTAACATGGCTAGCTCTGTCACTTCTCTTGTGTTGGAAACACTTTTTTAAGCTTGGTCTATCTATCGATCATCATGTGTTGAGCGGTCGCATCACCAAACAACAGTCCTATATCCAGTTCTGTGAAAGCCCTTTGTCATTAGCCCAAACGCAGGCTTGTTGAGCCAAACCCGGATATAAAAAGTTAAGACCAAATTTGAATCTTGCAGGACTGGGTGACCTTTGCGGTTCTCTTTCAATCAAATTTGGAGTGGTGTGAACAACTCATCGAAGAAGGGAGCCCCAAACACCCCACGCGCTTCTGGATTTTGAACCATCTCCTGATGCCTGAGACCATTTAACTTCGGTGTCACAAATGCAACACTTCCCAAACAAATCCAAAAAACAGGGCAGAACCCAAGTTGAGGGGCCCCCTCAAAAGGAATCCTTGGGGGAACGGGAACCCTCATCATGTATGTGCAAAAAACTTTCCGCGCCCAAAGGAAAGGGACAAGCAAAACAGTGGCTTAAACAAGGCACATGTCTTCGAAATCGTACCCTGGCTGTCCGGCTCTGCAGAGGTGACAAATTCCACCACCTGCCTGTTTTGCAGATGCAGCCTTTGGCCCATTCCGGAATGTTCGCTTGAGATTCCCAGCAGAGGCCTTGCGCGGGCCAAATATCAACATTTGTAAACAGGGCCCACACTGTGTTTTTCCATCATAAACATGCTGCAAAACAAAACGCTTCAAATCCCAGGCGCCAGGAAGGGCCAGTCCCCTTTCATTCCCAAAGGAACCAGCCAGAGGCAAGCATGGTCTTTCAGCAATTGCCCGCGGGTCGACAGCTTGTGAAAGTCCTCCACTAGGTACTCAAACAAAGCCTCCAGCACATCCCCGTTGGTGGAGTACATTGCCTTAAGGCTGCAAAGGGACATGTGATGTGGGGTTGTTGCCAAATCATCAGACCAGAAATTTACACGCACAAAATTAATTAACGACTTCAGAAAATAACTTGCATTTCTTTGACGAGGCACCCTCGGCATCACTCCAACAAGCAGTCGGGTTCTCAAGGTGTTTCCTAAAGAGTTCACAGCTTGGGCATCCGTCGTGTTTGCGTTGACAGACCGGGAAGTTCCAGCACCTAAGACCCCCTGCCACTGCAAGATCATGATGCCCGACTTCTTGAAGTGGGTTCCCTCATCCCCGTGGATGTAGACTGGGCAAACTCGCTTGAAGGGAATGCTGTTGCGGCGAGCAGTTTCGAAAAAGCTGAAGTTTGGGAAGAGCACTTCATACTGCTTCCAGAAAAGCTCAAAGCTTGCCTCAGCCCTTGCCAAAGTAGGCTGGCCAGAAATCATTTCCCAATGATTCCCTTTATCGATCAGCTCTAGAAACGAGGATGGCAGAAGCATTGGGTACTTCTCGGGAGCGTCCACATCCACATAAGTGATCTGCACCCCCAACCGGAGGCCAAACTTGGCAAAGGCCCGCTGCGCCGCTTCTTCCTCAGGTTTGCTCTGCACATGGCCCGAAGGCCGAGAGATCGCTTGACAAGGGAAGCGTTTTCCACAATAAGCCACATGCACATATACACGCACTTAAAACAACAAGCAAAATGGAACAGACGCAAACACAGCACAGGCATCAGACTTCTTATCAGAGGCCACTGCAAGCTTCTCCAGAACAGGGCAGTCGAAGCCAGAGCCACCTCGTTGTTCACGAGCATCACGCATCACAGCCCGCGCAGTCCCCAAAGCACTTCTGCAAGTGGCCTTGCGCATGAAACGCCAGGAAGCTTTTTCTAGTCTAGAATGTTGCGGCTAGCCGAGTGCCATCGAGCGGCGCCCTTGCCGATGTCGCTTGCCAGCTTCTTAGCGGTCCATGAGACACCTGGCATCACGACATCAAGGTTGAGTGTGTACGGAGGTAGTATACAAACTGCATCATTCCCCCTACAACTGCGTTGCTGCACAACTGCTCATTTTGTTCCGCCCCCAGCGCCCCGAATCTAGATCAAACATGCGTAAGCCAGGATTGCGGCCGTGTTCATACACGGCGCACCAAAAGAGTGCGTATCACACTCACGACTGATTAGATGAAACGGTCAGATGCATCTGACCCAAGAATGCAAAGTTGAAAGCCGCCTTTTTCTATTTGAAAAAAGGTCAACAAAGCCTGTGTGGAACAGTGAACCTTCCTGGAAACCACGGCTGTCTCACGCAGTGTTCTTCCTGCGTGCCCTTTTTTTGGCGGCAGGAACAGGTGCATTTGCGCCCTCTTCTTCCTCCGACTTATTTGCCTGAGGCCGCGCCCGCTTTGCAGGCTGACCCCCCGCATCGCCCTCAGCTGTGTCCTTTTCGAGCTTCTTTCGTGCTTGGTTGATCTCTTTCATGAAAAGCCTGTCGAGGCAGGCCAGGGCGGTCATCAAGCAACTGCAAGAGGGCATACTCCAACGTATTGTTACATTGGCATGTTCCGCACCTGTGTTTGGCTGTCTTGGCGCAAAGCTCTGCGCACCTCAAACAAGGATCGCGCAAGGCCAACTGGAGGTGTGTGAAGAAACACGCCATGTTTACCAAACTTTACTGATCAGAGAGGGTGCGGTTTTTGGATCTTCTGGCGGATATCATCAAGGCCAGCTTGCAGCCTGGGATTCTTCAAGGGGTGAACTGAGCAAGTTGTTTGGTCATCAATGTCATGCGTAGCAGACTCAGGGCAATGGTTCCCGCACCAATCATTTGGCACTTCAGTAGGCGCTGGCGCTTCTGGCCGGCGGGGCTTTCAGAGACCTGAAGACACAGTAGACCATAAAAGGGCCAGCGTCCGATTTCACCACCGATTCCCCGCCATCTCTGATGTTCTTGCACCCGGAACGACCTAGGTTGTTCGAAGATGCTGCCCGTGAAAACAAACCGGGATTCCTTTATGCAGCAATAACACCACATGATGCTTGATTCAAGACACCCTTGTACCACTGAATGAGGGCAGCCTCAAGAAAGGCTGGCGATGTCGTTTCGGGGGCCACATACAGGACCCTCATCCGCTGCCACTTGTGGTGCTTCTCCGTGGCATACCCGTACATGTTGTTCCGAAAGCGCCACTGCGGACAGTGTGTAAAGCCCAGTTTGTATATACACGGCCACTCTTTCTCGAGAATCACGTCAACTGTTTTAATCGCGTGCTTCATGACAGTGCCAGGAAGAGCGTTTCGGGGTGGCAAACGAACGTCAATGACAGGGTCTAGCATGATCTTGTCAAAGCAGTCGAAGGTTCGAGGTTGCGCTAGAACCTCATCCCCGAGAAGATCAATCCAGTTCCCACGGGATGACTTTGGCGTAGCCGTGATTGGTTTGCAAACCTTGCAACTTCTCAAAGTGTGGCCCCCGACAATCAGTCATGAGAGCACCGGTGTGGGCATTCGAACTGAGGTGGCCGCAGCTGTGTTCGCAGTCGTGGCCTTCCGTGAAGGCAGCGGGTCGGACGCTTTTGCCTGACACGTTGCACGCAGCTTAAACGGCTAGTGTGTGTGTGTGTGTGTCTCTGCGTGCGCTGCCCCGTTCAATTTGTTCGGCCGGGGCACAGACCTGTTGTAGGCTAGGAGCTCCTCCAACCATTGAGAAGGGTCATCTTGGTCAACATCTTCCATTTGGCTCATCCGTCCATGGGCCCGAGAGGAAGAGATCGATACAAGGGAGTCAGCTTGGCAAAAAGGCTCCAAAAAGTATAGGTTTTAACAAATTGCGACCTTGCGTGAGGAAACCTTCATAGGGTTTTGAGCAAAGTGACTTGGTTTCATCCTCCACCATCTTCGTTTCCTGAAGCGTGGTGAGCTTGGCCATCTCTTCATACTGGTCCTCAAGACCTTTGGCAATGCCCTCCAACTCGGTCCCCAACCTTAGAAGTGCGTGTAGTGCAAGTACGGGTCAACGCTTAGCATGCAAAAAGTTCAAGCCATGTGGCACTTTCCTCTTCTAAGTCGAGCGCGTCTTGTGGCGATCACAAGGCTTGGGGTTGTACGGGGTCTCCAACTGGCCAACCATCTTATAGATTTGCGATATTTTCCCGTGGGTTGCATCCATCAGCTTGGTGAGTTCTTCCTTTACCTGCGCAGCTGGAGCACATGTTATGCTGAACTTGGCGGGGAAACCTTGCGGTTATGCAACCAGTCATGCAAAACCGTGCCTTGGCGCCCTCAAGGCTCACCCCAGCATCTCCCTCAAGCTCGCCAGGCATCAGCGCCGCGTCCTCTTGCATAAACCCAGCGTCTTTGACGCCCGAGCCTGTTGCCTCAAGCTTATCAGCGGCCACGTCCTCAGAACGATGGAATGGTCGTGAGCAAGCTTGGAGAAATCAACTACAGTAAGTGTGTCTGCTTTCAAGCTCAAGGTGTTGATCGTGGATGGTCAGCTGTGGTCAAGAACATATGACAGTCGCGTTTGTAGAACTGCAACTGTTGAGGCAACCTTAAATTGATTGTGTAAAGCATGCGCCAACATGTGGCGCCCAGAAACAAATGCAACCTAGGAACTTCAGTGGTTTCTTGGCGCCAACATTCCAACTCCCGCCGCTTCAGCTTTGCGATGTTGTCGGTCTCAACGAAGAATTCGGTCACAGCTTGGTTATATTTCCATGGCCTGTCATGGGAACACAGCTTTAGCTATATATAACGCGGCGCTGAGCAATCCGACCCAACAGCCCCACACCTTGTCAGCAGAGCCGGGAACTTCGAGCAGTAAGATGTGATCTGTTTCACAGTGGCCCTCAGGTAAGCCAAGACAATTGAACCGAAAAGAGCACGTGAATGAGCGACTCCTGCTTCAACTTTCAACTCCGCGTGCAATCAGCCTCAAAAACACCTGATTTTAATTCGAGCTGCTCATTGTATGTAAGCTGTGTCCTCATGCGCTCCGCAGTCAGCCATTGGCCCGTCACCTCCTTCTCCCTCTCCTGCATGCGCTCCTTGACATTCAGCACCCGCGCAGCAAACTGCAACCTGATCTTCTTCTGGGCTGTCCGGTCCAGCCCGGTTGACTGCAGTACTTCAAGAAGCGCCACTTCCAACAGTTCTCGCTTTTCGCCGCCGGCGATGAAGTCCTCCCGGACCGCGTCTGACACATGGCATTTGCCACTCCTTTTTTTCTCACACAACCTCCGTAGCCGCATCCGGAGCGCATCAGCGCCAATCACCTCAGCCCAGAAACATTTGAAGTTACAAGCGCGCGATTCGGGCAGCACGAATGAAGTTAAGAAGCTGCCTTTCCCCCAGGGACCACAATGGGGGCCCCTTCGTTACCATCACATTGTTTCGGATTGTCCGCATCATCAGAGTCCTGGGTGTTGTTCACAGCGGCGACACTCGTCTTCGCAGCAAGTGCTTTTGTTTTCGGCGCACTTTGCGTGTCAGGGCTGAGGTTTGCTCGAACCTTGTTCGGTGGTGTGGTGAAGGAAGGGGCGGCTGGTTTGGCATTGAGCCGGCCCTCAAGCTCTGCAATGTAGGCAAAAGCCTTTGCAAGTTCCTTGTTCGTGTTCTCTTCACCCACTTGTGGTTGCTCCTGCGGCTGCTGCTTTTCTGATGGGGCTGCGCGAGATGGAACACATGTTGGCGATGGGGTCTGCACTGCCGGCACCGGCTCAGGCTCAACACGCTGCGATGGAGGAGGAGCGCTGCTGGGATGGTCTTCAAGGGTAGGGTCCTGAGTCAGCCACCCCTAAAATCAAGCCCTCTTGATTAGTTGGGCGCTCTCAAGTGACAATCGGGATATTGCACATCGTGTGGGGCCAGTTGCTGACGGGGGTCGATTTTCGCGCTGAGCGTAAGCGCCAACTGCAAATCGTCATCATCAGAGGACGCCGCATCAGCGTCCGAGATGTCAACCACTGAATAGGCATCATAAGAGAGGTTGGAAATGTCATGTTCATATTCTTCTTCGGCTTGTTGGGCTAAGTCAGCAAGTTCACACGGGTCCTCAAAGCACCCAGCAGCTGTATGTACCAAAGCTAATCAGATAAGACCTCGTGCTACACACACTCAACATGAACAGGCGCAAACCCAATCGGCAGCTTTTGCAACCAAAAAACAGCCGGCAAAGTCTCATCCGGATCGCGGCCGTCGGCCTATGTGATGTAGCACATGTCTGACTCTGTAGGGGGCTTGGCTACTTGTGGACACGCCACTTAAGAGCCACACCTGCATGTCATCTGGTTCCTGCTTCACAGAAGCCGCCAAGAGAGCGTGCTCAGTGTCCTGGAGGAGGCAACCCTTAAAGCATGCAAAGACTGATTGCAAATGATGTGTTGCCCAACATATGTCCTGCAACTTCTTCAGAAGTTCTTCCCGGGTTAAGGTGCTAAGGTCCACCCCCGATATAGCCGAGCAAAGCTCGACCCCCTGATGCAAGTCAGAGGTGGTCCAAGCCTTACTTTGCAAACGCTTTTGCTCAGCCATTGGACACGCAGGAGCCTTGAGCAGAATGCGCTGCGTGCGGTGGGCTCAGCATTGCAGCAATCAAGATCGAAGTATATGGGGAAACTGCTGGCACAAGATATGAGCTTGCGCTTTCTTTTCCGGCGCGCGCTGCAAGTCTTGCACGCGACGAACTATAGCTGGTTTCAACTTGCACCCTTCAAATTACACCTTGTGGTGCCCAAAGGCCGCAATTCCACATGTTGAAGATCGCCCGAAGTGGCTCCCTAGGGGTCGTTTAGGCCAATACCCGGGCCATTTGAATTGCGTTATTTTTACGTAAGCCCGAACGGTTTGCGAACGCTTCGCAAACGCATTTTGAACGCGTTTTGAACGCTTCGCAAACGGTAATTCTAACACCACTTCACCCCTCATCATAAAACGCCAGTATTTGGGGGACCGTATTAGTTCTCTGGTTTTACGTTGTTTTTGCGTAACAGCAATTCGGTTTACGTAAAAATAACGTAACATCACCAGGCACCCCTGCAGGACCCCCCCACTTTCGGCAAAATTTGCCAAAAAACCCAGCCCAAAAAACATAAGGGGCCAGTTTGACAATTGCTTCTTGGGATTGGGGTTGAGTTGGGCTTCCGGCAATCTTAAATCGTTGACGTTGTCTGGCAAGTCTGCAAGATGCTTCATGCATGGGTGAAACGAGTCCGCAATGAGGAGTTTGAAAACAGGCACCCGGGTTCCAAACGAAGCTTGAACGAGAAGGTTTCCAGTAAGCCCCTGCCTTGGAAAACGACGTGTAAGAATCCGGGTAGATACATCGGCCAGGGTCTGCCTTATACTTTCGTTTCAACTGACGGTTCGTGGGACATATACAAATCATTCAGACACCCGTACATCCACCTCATGTAATGTCCGGGCACAACCCGGCCAATAAAACTTGGGAAGGGTTGAAGAGCTCAAAGAAAACTTAAATTCCTGACTTGTGAAACCTATACAAGAGCACCATTTCCTAGTGCAGATTTTCAGGCGTGCCCACACCCTCCCGAACCCGGAAACACTTTGCGCCAGGGACCTCACACACACACACGTACATAGGCATGTTCAATGATGTTCTCGGACACCATTTGCTTCAACAATTGCATGTTTAAAAGGGTCGTTCAACAGCCCGACCTCATTTCATGTGGAGCGGTTTGAAGAGCTCGGACTATGAAGAAGTGCGCCACAAAAAAGAAAAGGCAACTCTGAATGTACCAACGCGTTTTACTCTTCAGGAAGTGTCCCGGGAAGGTGTTTTTTGAAGGTGGCCTGGGGAAAGTGTTTTTGCTTAAAAAACGCCTTGCCAGGCCACCTCTTGAAAAAGGGCTCTTATCATTGAACTTCTCTTTTGTATACTTCAAAGATCCCATTATGACAAGCGGGCGCCTGCTTTTGTAGTCAAAATAGAAGTCAGCTCAAACAACACGATGCGCCTGCCAAGATCAGTCTAATGCCCCTAGGCTACGGCTCGATCAGTTTCGATCTCTTCCTATGCCCCCCGTGCGCAAACCATGCCCATTGGTTTCCTCAATGTGGAGATTGAGAAACCTAACTCCAATTACGGGTCGGTACTGGTTTCGAGCGCCCGAAAAGCGATAAACGGCACTTGTGTTTGGGGGTGCTGCGGACATTTGCAAAACCCGCCCTTGGAGTCGGTTGGCCCGGTTGAAATCGGCCCGGGTGGAAAACGTAAACCCTTTGCCTCAAATTTGACATCCCGAACACAAACAGATCCACATTGTCACACAAGACCCTGAAACAAAGGTGAACTCACCGGGTTCCCAAACATGTTTCCAACATGTCTTTTGATGTGTGCACGGGTCACGAAGAGTCGACTACATAGCTATACCACCTTTGCCTCTAACCACTGGAATATGAACACACTGTTGGCTTGGGCCGCGGGGATTCAAAAAAACTAGCATCTTCATAAATTGTTCTATACGTTCGGATGTTGGGCCCAGACTGGGTTCCTTGAAAACGGTTTGCACTGAAGACCATTCAGCCACTTGAACAAGCCTTCCCCGGAGCCCCAAAACCCTTGCATGCACATTGGTTTCCCGAATGTAGACCCCGCGTTTTTCAGGAAACCATGCAACTCACTCCAAGGGCTCCCCAAAAGAACTTGACAGATCTTGTTTGGGCTTTCGGGGTTGGTTGGACACCGGGCTTTTTTTGCGGTTATTAAGGCGCAAACCAATGGGCAAACAAGGAATCTCCCCCAACGCAGCTTGGGCGGGTTCAACGCCTAGGCTCTCCGCGGTGAGTTCAGAACCGCTATACACATGTCAAATAACATTCCAGTGTTGACCTACGTGCGACTTCGAACTTCGCACAATGTTGCTGCTTGCGGCTAAGACCACGAAATTTTTTGGAAGCTGCATGAGAGCCCAAGCAGCCGCCCTACCGAAACTATACCTACAAGTGTGTAGGGAACACTTGCTTCCACTCTAAAGGGCAGCACAAGTCAGTCCCCCCTCTCAAGTAATGGCAAACATCCGTCAGCTCAGCCTCCTCCCAATCGTCTAGATCCAGGGATGCAAAGTAGGTAGGCCCATGCAAATCTTGTGGAACATTCTGGGGCTTCCCTTTGCCCTCCCGCACCAAGGCTGGGAGGAGACGCACAATCTTCCACCCAAACCTCACAGGATAGTTCCTCGGCAGGCTGCGGTGTGGGAATGGGCCCTGGTTGCCTTCTGGGATTGTCTCTCAACGAAGGACATCACAAGTGAATGGTGGTCTCTGTTGCTTCCGTCAAAGAGAAAGGGGCACTGAGCAGCTCACGCATTGTCAGCCAAGATTCTCTGTGCGCTTGAGTTGGGCAGTTCCACAATACCTCCGGCGCCCTTGCTTGTCATAGTAAACTTTGCTTGTTCGCACTGAAGGGTTGCTGCTGTTTGCGCGGGTCAAGCGACCAGCATTGATCTTGCCAATGTGCTTATTGTTGCTGTAGCCTTTGGAGCGCTTTGGTGTATCACTGCCATAATGTCGCATCCACCATGATGTGGAGTATACCTATGCAGGTAGACAGACAACAATTGACTGCGAAGCAACCGCTTTTTGGTCTCTGAAGAGTTAGGACCGATAGGACGCAAACACTTGAACATTCTGGCCAGTCAAGGAGCCCGTATGGTGCGGCATAGGGAGTCAAACCGACCATAATACCGAAGAATCGAAGATCCCGGTTGCTCAACCATGAAGGATCCTCCGCGTGCCACTGTAAGCAGTATGAGACATATGCTCCTCAGTCATCTTAGTTGGTCAACAATCAGGCGCAGTAAGCTGTGGTTGTAGGAAACAAGATTGATCAAGATTACCTTATCCACTCCAAGGGTCCGAGATGCAAGCGTGTTGGCAAGTCTCACGTAGTGCCGCCCCTCAACAAATCCCTCCGGCAAGAGTAGGCTGCGGAAACTGCTTCCCCGATTGATTGCCACCCAAGAACTACATACGATTGCAAACATTGCAAAAAACGAATCTTCGCGAGCTTGAAGCAGCAGCCACACTGCAAGCCTAAGCCGCGGCAACAACGCGTGACAATCTGCGTGTTGAGTCACGAGTGCAAATCTTACACTGAAAGCACATTGCTTCATAAGTCCCGTACGCTAGGCCTGGGGGCGTTAGGAGATCAAAGCTGTTCCACTTCTTGTACTCGCCATCTACCAAGTACTTTATGTCCACGGCGCACCCTCGCACCTTGGCGTTCTTCACGGCCTTGAAGCATTGGGCGTCACCAGCAAAATATTCGATATACTGCAGCTCCTGCGCGAAGCAGGTAAAAAATCGATGTGTGTTGCTGCTTTCAGAATAACAATTGCCGAGTCCTAGCAGGGTCCCTGTAGCCGTGAGCCAAACACAACTGTGCATGGCAGTCCAGATTTTCTTTGATCAACTGGCCCTGTAAGCGGTCAGTCCTTTGACATTGTCCCCATATTTGTGAAGTGCACCAGCACCACCATCATAATGAAGGTCTGCAACAGCGGCCAATTCTTGCACAGGGCCCCTGCGTGACAGTAAGACGGTTCCGGGTTTAACCCTGCACACGCCTTCGGCGCTTTCAACTGGCGGAGGCGCCAGACGAGCGAGTCCAGACAATAGCCAGCCATGTCGCGTGCCGAATGTTGTCAAGCTTTTCAGAAAAGGAACTCTGTTCGTGATGTTTGTAAGCATGAATTGCAAGACACCATTTGAGAGCTTCGTGCCTGCGGAAGATGTGGATCAGTTTCAGCAAGCTTGCGTGGTCTGGTTCCTCGCTGCAAAGCCCCCCCTTTCAAGCGCAGTTCGTGTGTGCCCTCGACCAGTGCAAAATGCACTTGCCTTACGCGGCAACCATGGGGAACCATAAGCAGGGCAGCAACACCTCGTTGGGTAAGAACACCAAATCGCGCTTGTAGAGCTCGGCCTCGGAGGCAGCGCGCCCAGCCTGGCAACTTTTGGATGCGGAAGGCAGGGAACCCTCTCTGAAGCTTTGAATCGAAGTCTGTGGGGTGGTGGGTGGCTCTCAAATCATCACGTGCCAAGGGTGTTGGAGCGCTTTTCTACCCCGAACTTTCCTTGTCACTGCACAGGTGCTGGCACCTGTGCCCATGAATAACCCCATGTGGCAGAAATTGCAAACAGCCAACAATGCTGCGCCTTGATGGCAGCAAAGTGGCCACTGGCCATGTACAATTCGCAGACTTGGCGCAGCCAGCCGAAACAACTGCATGCGTTTCACTAACCCACCAGTTGTACAATGGATTGCTGAATGGGCATAGCAGGCTCGCTCAAGCCTAACACCAGTGCACGTGAACACGGCAGATCTCGGCGAGATTTCATGCTCGCTCCAAAATCATGTCATTTGCCCGGTTGAGCGCTGCAATCACACGAGTCACGCAGGCCGCCACCTCGTGCTGCTGGGAGCTTTGGTTCTCGAAGTGATGGAAGGCGAGGCCCTGGGAAGAGAGATGGCCCCTGTTCCAAAAACTAAGCGAAACAGTGTTGAAGCACGGTAGAAGCTTTTGAGTTGCGAGTGTGCGCAGTATAAACTTGATTTGTTGAATAGACACACACGTAATCAGGTCCCGGGATGCGACCAAGTAGCAATCTGCTTCGCGCAATAGATCTTGGCACACATGCACCCCACTGGCATGGACAAGTAGTAGGGCTGGGTCCACTTCCATGGGGCATCTTTGTTTTCTTGAGCACTGACTTTCACACCAACAGCGGACGCTTTCCAATAAATGGAGAGCCTGACATGGGCGTGAGTGGGGAACTGCTGTGCCACATCCTGATGCGGGCCCTCTTTTGCCCGGCACTCCACCATCAACGCATGAAGCTCTGATGTGGCAGCCTCCTGGGTTGTCGGTGGGCGATGCGACAAGTCGATGGTGTGGGACTCCACTTGGCGGCGCTTGCGCTTGGCAGGAGGCTTGGCGTCCGGCTGTGGCTTGTTTCGTGGCTTCTTTTTGGGGGCTGGCTGGGTTTCCTCCTGCTTGCTTTCCTCGGTGCCCTCATTTGTGGATGTATCGCGGGCTGGGGCGCCATTGGCTGCCGTGCATGCTTTTCTTTTCTTGGTTGTGGATTTCTTCGGTGTTGGTGCATTGGCTGCCTTGGGATCACCTTTGTCACTGGATTCTGTGAGATTCTTCTCATGATGTTCTTTGGAGTCTTCCTCTTTGGGAGAGGCAGTAGGTGTAGAAGTTGCTCCGCCCTCTTCGACAAGGGGGGTCGCACAAGCAGCCGGGGTAGCGGCAACGGGTGGCTCCTTGGAGGCACATGTGGTTGCCTGCAAAGGCGGGCTTTCCTTTTGACAGGATGCGTCGGTACCGCCTGCAGTATCCTGAGGTTGGTTTGCTTTGCTGCCGCCTGACTTTGGTCTTGTGACTCCTGCTTTTGCCTTAGCTTTAGCTGAGCTTTTCTGTCGCCTGTTGGTCTGCAACTCCTTGTCCTGCTTATTCTTCTCCACCTGCTCCTTTTTCTGTTGCACTAGCGTGTCCCTAAGAGCAAACTGGTCGCGCCTGGTGATGTATCCCGCTGGCTCTATCTCCGGGAAGTCGGATTTCAGCGACTGCAGGGTATGGTGCAGCGCCAATGGCGCACTAGGCCAACACACCAACTGCACCTTGACAACAAGGGGATCAAGTTGCCACGCAGCGTGGTGAACGTCAAACCGCACACAAGAATGGAACTCCTTTCGCACTTGCCTTCAACTGCTTTTTTACAGGTTCCACACAACTATAGAGCGACTCAAACTCTGTTGTTGCGAACATGTGTGGCCATTTCCACTTCTGTTTGAAGGAGCCGGGTCCGCCATAAGGGGCCACTCACAGCTCCTCAAAACTACGGGGCGCCTGCTTACCATAACACCCTATGACGGAACCGGTTTGCTTCCCATCGCCCAATCCTGCGTCGGAGGCGTGCTGGAAGCAGCTGCCACTTCTGCTATGGCCGTTTCCTCAGCCTTGATCACCTTGAGCGCGGATGTGGATCTTCCCAAATCAGCAGGGTCCTCAACGAGTTGTGTCTCAGCAGTGTCTAAGCCGTAGTGCTGGGTCTCATCCACATAGATACCTTACTTGCAACCGGCCCGCCCCCCAGACCCAAAACGAACATACAAGTGTTGCCCAGTCTTGGCATTAAAGGCTAAGTCTAAGTGTTTTCCGGGACGCGACTCGCAGGTCTTGCCTCATTTCAACGCGCTTGAAGCGCCCTGTGCCAAGAACTGAACTTGTTTGTGGAAGTTCCATGCATGCGTCCGCAGTTCTGCCAAGTAATGCAAGGCTATGAAGATCGATGGGGCGAAGGTCAATTTTGCGCACATATGTCAAATTTGTGTCACGTTTGGAGTTGCTAGCCCTTCCAGGTCCAGGCGACACTTGGGTTGGCTAGCGTCCCCCAGCGAGAGCGATGAGCGAAGCCGCACCAGGCTTGAAGGAGGAAGTGTGTTCCTTAGTAGCCAAGCAGTGTCAGTTACAGAACCACACAAGTAGGATGTTGCGGAGGCGTGACGAGTCCAATCTTTCAAATCGTTTTGGCTTGCTCGCGCAGGCCTTCAGCAAGAAAACGTTGCGCAAATGCCGCCAAAGTCACACCAGCAACTGTTCTCGGCGCAACAAGTGCTGCTGCAGCTGCTGCAGAGAAAGCTCCTCAGGCTTCTTCACGCTAACGATCTCCACACCGTCAGCCTCGTCGCATCCAGGCTGGCACCGCTCAGGGGCATCAAGATCCAGACCAGTCGCCTCCTTGCAAGAGCGGGGTAAAAGCGACTGACCCACAAACACTTTCCAAGTCTGATTCGGTTTGCCAATGAAAGTTTGGGGTGTAATTCTTCTCTGCAGAATGTGTGCTTTTGGGTCAGCCCCTTGGCAGCTATATATGTAAATCAGGGCCCCCCACACCTCCTAAGATGAAGGCAGCACGTATCTTGAACAGTCGCATAACTTATTGGATCGAGGTAGCAGACATGTTGATCGCTCAGTTGGACATGGACGCGTCCTCCAAAACGTTGGGCGTGCCTTCATCCTCCAGCGCCCCTCTGGGCATGGACCCCTCGCTGTCATCGTCCATATTGGTTTCCACCTCACTCCTCAAATTCTCAATTGCGACCAACTCCTCGTGAACAGCCTCATCCTCATTCACGGCGCCATCGTTCAAGGTGCTCGTGCCAGGCTCATCGCTTTTGCTTGTTTTGAACCGTGACCAGAACGCGTCCCTGCGTGCCAGCACTTCGGGCGAGGGGATGTCGTGGAGAGCCGGACTATCATCCTTCGCTGCCTCCTGCAGGTTCGCTGCCTCCTGAAGGCCGGAGCCAGCTGGCACGCTGCAGGCCTTGCCCCCAGCAGCAGCTGCATCTAGCATGTCGATGTCCAGGGGTAGTCCGTCACTGCCCATTTCCTGCACGAGTGAGCTTCCAGAGAGACCGTTGTGTAATTGAAAATAAGAAGTGCTGAATAGGGTGTGGGGGAGACAGCGAGAGGCAGAGAGAGAGAGAGAGAGAGAGAGAGAGAGAGAGAGAGCGAGAGAAAGAGAAAGAGAGAGAGAGAGAGAGAGAGAGAAAGAGAGAGAGAGTGACAGAGTCACAGAGTCACAGAGTAGAGACACAGAGTCACAGAGACAAAGACAGACAGAGACAGACAGAGCAAGAGAGAGGGGGGGGGGGGATGCCACAGTCCTGCGACTGCGCAATGTGGCCGAGGCGCTCCAGGAGCTCACGAATCACTGGGTCCTGCGCAGAAAAAGGGCAGCTGCGACCGGTGAGCAGGGCAGGGCTCTTTTTCAACGGTACACATGTTCAATTGAGAAACTCGATCACGTTGGGCTGACTTGCAGCAACTCAAAGCGCCTTTTTGGGCTCTGCCACCAAGAAGGTTTTGCAACTACTGAACATAGAAAGCAAACATGTATATTTGCTAATGTCATCTGTGTCCTGAGGCACCGATTGCTTGTAAGTGAAGGACTTTGTGTAGGTTAGCAGCCTTCGAACTGCCCAAGATTGTTCAAATATTGTTGTAGCATCAACTTCCAGCCCGGATCTCTCAAAGAGGGTCTTGACTTCTACCGCCACATCATCAATTGCCGGAATCTTCTTGTCGTTTTCCCTCATAAAGTCCAAGACTGGCATCAGCATGCCTTTGTTAGCCTTCAGGTTGAGCACAGTCTTCTGAACGAAGCCAGGGTCCAAACCATCATCTGGCTTACTTGCAAGCATGAACTTCTTGTGTTTCCGGACGCGCTCTCGAATTTCCGGGTCATTGTCCCAGGCAGCACCAAGCCCCGTCAACTCAAACCCCCCTAGCATGTCCTTCACAGCCTGCAACAGCCCCGGATAGGCGAAAGGCTGCAGCTCGAGCAAACACGGCTGCCGTGCTTATAAACTTGGTATGCGCATTAAACTTGCAGCGGTTGTGATGCGCCACATCCAAGGACTGACATGCCCCCCCCCCCCAAAGACAGCCTTGTCGTGGCACACCGCGGCGCACCACCATGCATGGCGCAGCAATGACAAGCTTGCCAGCAAATCAATCGATGTTGATGTTGCTGCACTCGTTGCATTTGCCGCCGATCACTTATAATTGCTGCCCTGTGTCATTCGAGCATCTTCAAATTCGATACTATCTCACCCTTGTGCGATCAAAGAGCCCAAATGGCCTGAATTCCACAGTAGTGGCGTTGCAGCGCTCACTTACCTGACACAATCAGTGGTCGAGCTACTCTGGAATCCACCTTCTATAGTCCCAGCACTGCCACATCAACAGGTCCCACTACCGAACGGTTTTTGGAACACTGGGTTGGAATTCTGACCCATGACGGGGAATATAACAATTTTGAGGAAATCGTTAGAAAGTGTCAAGAAAAAGGGCTGCAGGCACCAGTTACCCAGTGAGTGTTGATAGGTTTAAGAATTGTCTACCCAAAAAAAAAGGACTTAGCGAGTGTCACCTCACTTCCCGAGTGGCTTGGTCACAAGTCGGCACACCCAAGTATAGTATAGTTCTGGAATTGAGGGGGTGAGCCCCTGAATTTTGAGGTAGTTTGGAGCTGTTCCCGGGGGTTTCCGACTTACACAACCCACAAGAACACACCAAAGAACAGCTACCTGGAGGTCACTACCCAAAAGAAAGGGGTCATGACCGCAGTTTTAAAGGGTCAGAAGGAGACTCCAGGTACCTGAAACCGGGGCTCCCGCAAAACCCGTCGCCCACAACTGGCCGTGTGCGTGGCTTCCCAGGCGAGGCTCCAGGCGAAAGGGGAGGTACACCTGGGTCCGGGGCCACCAAAACCTCAGCTGACTGGCTGGAAAAAGCATGAAAAAATAGCCGGGGTGTCTTTTTCTTGGAGTAGTTACTCTTTTTTGAGTTGGTTTTCCAGGAGAACTAAAGGGAATAAAGGGATCTTGCTTTAAAAGAGTTGTTGCCCTTGTTGAGCTGGTTTAAAGGAGAAATAAAGGGAAACCAGCATCTTGGAAACACCCGAAAATGAAGACTTGCCTTGCCTGGCAGAGGAAACTGGAAGGAAACAGCATTCAACGCTTTAAAGCTGAAGAGGTCTGTTGCTTGGTTGATTAGTTGGTTGGCTGGCTGGAATAAAACTTTTGAATTTTTTCAACTGAACAAGTCTACTCTTTGGTTGATTGGGTTGGTTGTAGTAAAATGTGGCAGCAAACATAACCCAGACCCCCAGTGGCCATAGGGAAAAAAGAGGAACTCCCTCTCTATTTTCTAAGGGACCCCCCAACAGAAAAAGCTGAAGTCTTTGTGTGGTTGCGCAATTTTCAAGGGAGCCCCCCCCCAAAAAAAAAAGCCCCCCCCCGCCAGAAGAGAAAAGAACAAAACACATAGATCAGTTAAAGCTTGCAGCCACCAGGTCGGTCCGGGCGCCCCCTCAAAAAAAGAGCAAAAGCCCAAGGCACTGGTTGGCCACGGCGCTGCCCAGCTCCAGCCGGAACTCCTCCGGCACGAAGGTCCTTTCCACGCGCCGTCCGCGCGGACGGCTTGCGGACGCCGCGCGCCGCGCGGCAGGGGCGGGGCGCGGGTGGCTAGCTGGGAGGGGACAAGGCGCCGCAAAAACAAGCGGGGAGAACGGAGCTCAACAGGTTTGGTGCCTCTTTTTGGGGTTGGTGGATTGGGTTTAGGGTTGGAGTGAGAAGACGATTTTGCTGGACAACCTGAGGAAGGACTTGCCGGTGAGGTCTGCACAAGACTCCTTAGAGTGAAAATACTGACAGACATGGATGAACCATGAATCCCAACCAAATCGCAAACCCTCCCTCCACGAGGTTTTCCTTTTCTAAACCAACCAAAACAATACAAAGAAAGGGACCTTGATCTTCATGGATATGCACTGGGAGCCCTTGTCAGAGGATGCGTATCGTTTCCACTAATGTCCAACTTCCCCCCCTGGTCATGTTTTCTCCCCTTTCCCCGTCTTCTCAAAGGGCCTGTACATGGGTTTGTCTCTTAAAGTGAGCAATTTCCCTCTCCTTTCCTTCCAAAACGGACACCCTCAGAAAAGGACACACCCATCCGCTCAGGTCGCCCTTGCTTGGTTTTGTTTAATTGTTCAATCCGCAGCCCTGCTCGAAGCCCGGCAGTGGCCACTGGCCCACTGGGCGCTTCGTGCGATGCTTCGATCCGAAGCGCTGGATGCGGATGGAGAGGAAGGGCCGGGAGGCCTCGAGACCAAAGTCCAGGGCCCAGAAGTTGTCCAAGGGCGTCACGTCCTCGCCAGGCTCTTCCCCCAGTAAAAACGTGAAATCCCCCCTACTTGAAGGGGAAGGGGGGTTGGGGGGTGCCCCAATTTCATTCATTTACTCTTCCCCAAGACAAAAATGGCACCAGAAATGGAATTTCATTTGTCACCCCCTCCCCCAATTCCATCTTGAGCCAGCCGCTTTTTCCTGCTTGAAGCGAACGACACGACTCCGATCTCCGAGGCGCGGGGTTGGTCACCTGGATCTCGAAGCCGTAGAGCCCGTTCTGCTGGAAGCGGTAGAGCCCGTCTGCGCCGCGGGACTCCGCCAGGAACACGCCTCGGACTTTGAGGTCAGGTCAGGAAAGGCGCGGGGGTCAAAAACGAAATGGGCAAATTGGCTGAGTTTGATTTGGGGGGTTGGGTGTCCCGTGTTTTTGTTGGTTGTTGTGTTCTCCTCTTTTTCTTTATTTTTTTGGGGGGACCCCAAGCCCCGAACCCCCAGACCCCGGACCCCCAGCCCCCGCCCAACTTTTCGGGCTTCCCGGCTGTTGGGCACGTCGATGCGCGCGGTGTTGGCGATCCCCAGGCACGCGCTGGGCGCCAGAAGGTCCGGCCAGGGCTGCAACTGCTGGGGGCACCTGTCGGACTCGATCCCTCCAATTGGCTTGCATTGGCCCAGCAGCAGTTGATTGATATACTTGTGTATATATATACATATATATATACATATGTGTATATATGTCACATATATATATATATACATATGCTTATTAATATGCGTGTGTGTGTGTGTGTGACTATGTGTTTGGTGTGTGTGTGTGTGTGTGTGTGTGTGTGTGTGTGTGTGTGTGCGTGTGGATTCCGATTTGGATTCCCTTGGGAACCAGCAGCTGCTGTCAATGCTACATGCGTAACAGCCAAAAGCCCTCCAATCTAGGCCCCTTCTCCTTCCGCAAGGAACGGGGGTCGGCTGGGGGTCTCCAATTCCAGTTTCGATCTTAAAATCTTGGTTGTCTTTCTGGCTTCCCTTGTGGCCCACAAGCGAACAACGGAACAGCGACTTCCCTAACCTGCAAAAGCAGTTGATCTGGCCATGACACCATGCCAAACTTCGCACCGGAACCAATGACTGAACTTACCAAAAGAGGTTCGGGAAGGGCAAGACCTCAGCCAGCTTTTCAGCTTCCCCCTCGGGGCAGCTTCCCATTTAAACAGAACCATTCAAATCCCGAAGCACCAATCCAAACCAGAAGCATAAAACGCAATGAGAACAGAAGCTCCCACTCCAGAAAAGAGGGAGCGGTACCTAGAGAAGCCCATAAGGAAGGACTTGAAAGAGAAGAGAAAGCTGTGGACAAAACCTGAGGAACACCAGGCCCAGCTTGGACCCCTTGAAAAATGGACACCCGCCAAGCAAATTGTTGGATGTCACTTTCGAGGCGCTTCTTTTTTGGGCTCCTCCTACAAGGAGAAGCCAAAAGTCAAAAAAAATGAGCCTTTCGGGATCCGCCAGGTTGAGACACACCCAAGCTCAATTAATTGATTCCCCCCAGTTTGGTGGAGCTTGCACCTTGGTTGTGCTAGGAGTAAGCTCAGGGGAAACCCTCCCCCGGAAAAAAGCAACGTCAGAACAGGTAGAACTCACTATGAAACCCAGCAGAGACCCTTTGAGAGGAAACTGGCCGTCCAAAACCGGTCAGGTTCTGTGCAGAGGAAGGATCCGTGGATTCTGATCCCTACTGAGGAGAGGTGGCACCGAATTACCCAATTGTCCACCAGCGGAAAGCAGTGGACGAATGACCTGAGACGGTTAACAGAAGTCACTTTCTTGAGGCTGGCCAAGAAAAGTCAAAACTTGAGGAAAACAGTATACCGAGTATACATTCCAAGGGCTCAAGCGAGGCAGCAACCCCGACTCAGCCCTTCGTCCCACACGTCCAGGGACCCCCGCCAGAGCTCCAGAGTGTCAGTGCTGCAGGGGAACCTGCAAGGTTAGGGCCAACAGGTCCAAACACCTGGGCATTCTGTGAGCCTCACTTGAGTTTCCTTTCATGGAATGTGTCCCACTTTTTTCTGGCGACGGATTGCAAATGCCGAAGCTTTCACCCAAATACCACCGGAGCCCCCCATTCCAGGCTCGGAGAGGTGCCCAGCTATGAACTGCGAAACCAGGCCCCTGAATTGCTCCACAAACGTCTACCGCCACTTAAATCCGGTCGCGATCTACCCCAAAGCTGGGCTGTTCGCGTGCAATGGCGTGCAACTAACATGGAACCACATGGCCACACAACCAGGAACTTCGGGAATGAGCAAATGGATAGCCACCAAAGGCTGCCGCATGCCTTTGCAGCCTCATCCTGAAGCTGGCCGAAATGCCCGCCTCGCCCAACAAGCCAGTCCAGACCCAAAGGTGACAGAGTACCCTCCCACCAGCTAACATGGAAGTGCACAGACCCCTGTAGAAAGACGACTTTCCTATTGGTTAGCTGGCCTTTTTGCACTCCCATGTTAGTTGGTGGGAGGGTAAGCATTCCAAAACTGCCAACAAATCTGGGACCACCTTGTCGCTTCAATACTGCCACATAGTGCCACAGCGTGCAAGCTACGAGAAGACCTCCTTTTTCGGAGGTGAGAAACAATTCCAGAACCATCTTCAACTAGGTCCTCCAGTAGAGAGGTTAGAATAAGGGTACCAGCTTTTTCTTTTTGTCTATTTTAGTAGGAACCCTCCCCCAAAAAAAGGGTAAAAGGGCGCTACTGGGGGACCTAGTCAACCAAATGGGCTGTCTGCCGCAAAAACACACCTGCCCAAATGCCTAAAGCCCGCACCAGCTCCCCCCACTCCCAATGCAAAAGACACAGCGCCTGTCTTCGCCAACCATCGCTTCCGTGAAAGCACGGAGGCCCTGTGAGCAGTCCTGGCAGGACTGCTGCACGTGCGAGGTGGTTGAATCAACACCTGGTATCAGGCTCGAAATGAGAATCCCCCAACCAAAAGTTGCAAGTTCGCCACCTCGACTAAACTGTTGAAAGCCAAGCATCAGAGCCCAAATGATTTCTTCGCCGAAAGGAGGGCAAGGGAAACTTCTTGAGCCCCACGTTCTTTTGTTGAAATGTCGACGGCTCGTCCATGGACTGCCCATTTCCACCGCATGTTCTAAACGAGCGACCGAGCGACCAGCCAGCCGACGGACCAACCCCTGGGCCTCCAGAAAGACGAAGCCCAGCGGCCCCCGCAAGGCCAGCACGAAGGTCTCATCGCTCACCGGGTAGATCGGGGGCTCCCCCACTCCTAAAAGCCGAAGGGCGTGCCGAGGTCTGCACACCGGCACGGGCCTCCTGTTTTTGTTTGAGGTCTTCGCTTTTGGATCGCACACACCAACCCTGTTTTTGTTTGAGGTATCCAGTCTGCGCGGGCCTCCGCCTTCCTTTTTTGAGGTCGCTTTGTTTGGATCGAAAACCGCACAATCCTCCCAGAAGGATGTCGTGGGCCGCCCGCCTTTCTGGGGCTGAGGGAAGCCAAAGCTTTGGCAACTGTCGAGGGCTGCTCCAAACAACTCCCGATGGGAACAAGGTAGGTTTGCTGGTGGCAACGGGAACGCCAAAAAAATAGCCCCTTAAGAAACAATTCTGCTCAGAGGTTGCCCCGGATTGTAAGTTTCCAGAAACTCAGGTGAGTTGCCTTGCGAATTTGACCCCTTCCTTCCAAACTAAGCCGGAAAGGCACCCCGCCTCGAGGTCCAAGGAAAAACCCAAACATGGAATTCGGGTTACTGGTGGGCTTCCCTTGAGGTAAAAGGACCTGACACACACACACTCACACAGAGACAAGCAGACACACACACACACACAAAGACAAACAGACACACACACACACACACGGTGTGCGCCAAGTTGTGGGCCAAGCACCTACCTGACAATCCGTTGGCTACAAACATTTTTTGCGAAACGGCATTTCTCTTGGGCCCCCCGAAGTAGAGCCAAGATCGCCTTCGGGGCGCCCAAAGGTGCTCAGCAACGCCACCCGGGCGGGGTTTACTGGATGAATCATCCAAATCTTCAACCCCCGTTTGCTACTGGGAAGGTGGTTCGCCTCTACCAGGCCGCGAAGCTTAAGTGGAGATCTTAGTTTGGGTGCCGGACGGGGAACAGAAAGCAAAATCTCTATCCTGGCACCTTCCTTCCGGTGCATTTTAGATTTCTAGGTTCTTTAGTATTCAGTGCACAAGGGGCACTCACTGGCTGTATGGCGAATTCATCGCCAACGCTTGCCTCTTAGGGTCGACTCAAGCTCATTTGAAGAAACATGCCAAGCAAACAAGCTACCCAGAACAGTAAACTGGAAATGGGTGTCTCAAAAGGGGACACCAACATGGAGGTTGCCCTTACAATCCCCTTAAACCACCACAAGAAGGGTTCCTCGAAAACGCCCCAATCACAGCGAACGTGTCTCTCTCTCGAGGGTCTTTTCGGTGACCACAATTTTTGGGGAAAGGGAATCCATGAATCTAGCGTCCTAGAACCCCCGCAAACTGTTCGATTTGATGCAGCCACTTGGCTCCACTCACAAGCTGAGCCGCGGAAGTAGAAGCCAAAAGTGTTCACCCGCCCCGGGGCGTCGTCTCGCCCGAAGAAGGGACCCAGGTACCTTAGCACATGGGAGGAATGTCGCGCGTGTTGTACCTACCTGTATGCAACACACTCACATACATACATATGTATATTAAAGTATGTATGTCTATACATATGTATGTATGTGCACATAGATTTCTATATGCATGAATTTATAGTTATACATATCACCACACCAATCATCAATCAATCTAAAAGAGCAGGTCCGTGGGGGAATTTGTCGGAAGGACAATGGGATGGGCACTGTGTGATTTCAATCTTCTAAGCCACTGATCGGTCTTTTTAGACACACATTTTCCCAAGGAGTTGGCCAACTTTTTGGAGAGAAGGATCCCTGAAGAGATTTCGGAAGGTACATCTATCACAAGGACAAGCTCAAAATTGTCCCAAACTCCCCAAAGAACTTGGCCCATGTTAGTAAGACATCTCAAAACTTACCCTTATGGGTTTCAATGGAAAACCCCCCAATGTTGACATGACAAAAAGTATGCTCCCCACCAGCCATGAACAAACTCCACGTGCCCCCGGCATATATAAGCAACCAGTCTTTGTAGGCAGCCTGGACATGAGAATTGAGAACGTTGCCGCAAAGCATGAGCAAATCAAGCAAACAAAAACAAGAAAACAGCATACGCTCCGACAGCAGGGAAGGGAGAAGCAGGGAAGGGAGAAGCAGGGAAGGGAGAAGCGGCGATTGAGATTCGAGAGCCAAAGAGAAAGCAAAACGGGAAGAACACACAATAACATGCAAAACCAAGCAAACTAGCAAATCCAAATTAGCAGTTGCCGTTGTTCGCTTCAAACAAATCGGCGCCAAAAAACAAGAAGGTAACATGACACAACTCAACACTTGGTATGTAGACCCCTTGCAAAAAAGTTATCTTGCTCCGCCTTGAAGTGCAAAAAGGCCCTTTCCAAGAGGAAAGTGGTTTTTCTACAGGGGTCTGTGCACAAACCCATGCTAGCTGGTGGGAGGGCACTCAACTCAGCTTCCGCCTAATTGGCGGCTTGGTGGATCGGAGGGGAGTGGTTCCCCATCCTCCACAAGATCCAGGTGTTCAATCTCCCAAAAATCTAAACCACCAATTGGCTGACCTGACTAAGGCTGAAAACGAACACAAACAAACAAACAAACCAACAAACAAAGACTCACTTGCCCAAAGGACCTGGAAATAAAAGGTGATGACCTTTTGGGGTGACTAAAATAGAACCCGGAAGACTGGAAGGTGAAAAGGTCGGACGCCAAGCGCAGCACAGCCGCGCCCCAGGCCGCAGGATCCCCGCCTGCAGCGTCAGCTTGGCATCTTGTTCCGTGGGTCTGATTTCCTTTTTGTCTCAGAGGGGAACCCCCAAGCGGTGGCTGTCCTTTCGGTTTCCCCTGAAACCAGCCCTCGCATAGGTAGCCTCACCTCAAAATTAGGGCGCTGGCGAACTTTTCGGCTTCCCTCAAAGAGGTACCCTCACCTCAAACTGCGCTGGCGAATGTTCCAGCGCAGAGGAAAGCAGAAGCTGTGCCAAACACCCCTCCTTAAAAAGAAAAGGCGGAAAGGAAGCAACCCACTGGATGTCGATCGAGTCACAGGCTTATGAAAGGCGGCTCCCTTCCTGGAAAATTCGAATCACTTCCCTACCTTCAGTGTGGGTGAGCTCAGGTGAGCCGTTTCATGTGTGTGTGGGTCTCTCCCTCTGTCTCGCTCCCTCTCTCAGGTTGTAAAGGGACTACGGGTAGAAAGGGCTCCGCAAAGGATACATCAAAAAAACTAGTTTGCAAGTGGATCCTCTGTCAGCTGCTGAAAACAAAACGAATTTCTGACCGGCTCAACTGCATCCTTTGATGGACCCTGAAGTCCGCTAGAAATAAAAGATGCATTCCGTAGCAAACCTGGCTCATGTTCCAAAGACCAAGGCGAGCAGAAGCTTGGTTGGAGCCCAAAACCAAAGTACGCGCTCTTTTGAACCCATTTCCAACCACCAAATTTGCAGTTTGTTGCTTGCAGAGTTTGTTTGGAGGGCATTTTCGGGCTTTCTGCCCTGGTTCGCCTCGCACCTATCTCCTGTCGAACCAGCAACCAACAGGTACACTTAGTACTGCGGGTTGATTTCCCAAATGGATTTCCCTCCCACTCGCACCACAAGGGGTTTGGGCCACTTTTTTGGGCTTTGAAACCAACTTAAGTCATGACCATAGCAAAAGCCCAGCCATTTTTCAGCCTTTCCAAACAACAGCAGCGTCCACAAGGAAAGTCGTATTCCAACACCCTCTTTTTGTCAGCTTCCACGTCTCTAGGGGAAGAGTTGGTCTACTCACACTTGACCCATGTGGCTTGGCCCATTTCAGAGCACCCCAGCACCCGAGGCCCGAGGGCCTCCGGTAGGAACCCCAAAAGCCGCGGGCTCGGCGTGTCCACCGCCACGTCCAAGATCTGGTGCTTGGGGTAGAGGTGTAGGTCGCCTCAAGCGGACTCAAGCGAGGCAAAGGCAGATGCACCGCTCGGCCCATAGTGAGACATCCTTAGTACCCGCCAAATGGGTGGGTATCAAGGTAAACCACCCGGTCCGAAGATTTTTTGCACTGGGCCCATTTTAGCACGTCCTCGAAATGACTCTCTATGCGCCTTTCCGTTTTGGCGGAGACACCGCCCGGACTAATTTTTAAGACCCCCTCAAAACCTCCACTTTGAGGGACCCAGACCCTCGGATCACGAAATAAGTGATGGCCACCCTTCAGGGCAAAGCCATTTTCGGGGTGCACCAAAACATTGACCCCTCCAAAATGGTGCGCTTTCCTTTTGGCTTCCTTTGAGGAAAAAACATAAAACGCAAAAAGCACGCACTTTCCACAAAAGGATGCACCCAGTGGGGGTCGGGGACACCGGGGGCCTCCTCTGGGAGTTGGGTTCCTTCCAAATCCGAGGGGCGGAATGTTCCCAGACGCCAAAAGGCCCGGCGCGGCGCCGGGTGGGACGGACTCTGCACAGACCTCGCCCGAGGCGCGAGGGCTCGCCAGGCAATACCTCTTTCAGATCGTTTCTTTTCCCTTAACCCGAGGAAACTCATCTGAAGGTGGCAAAGGGGATGACCTGAATAACGTCAAGCACACTCTGAATCTCTGATCGGCCAGCACTACTCGTGGCCTGGAGGAAAAATCACATGCAGAAGCATACCGGACGGACTCCCGCCCTCTTGCTTTGCAGAATGGTTGCAAAAAGCTGCGCATTACTAGGCATGCGGTGAATTTGATCTGCAAGTTTGGTTTTGGGTGCCAGCATTGTGAATAATTTATGTTTCCTGTCGGTTCCCTCTGATACCCAGTATATATACCATTTATAGAATGATAAAACAGTGATCTCGGTATAAAGTGGTTTGGGGGAGAAAGCCATGCTAGGAAACTATGAAATAAGGCCAAGCAAAGGACTGGTGAGCTCGCTTTGCCTGAGCCTCTATGACCCCTGGACAAACCTGGAAGCTTTGATCGTGCAGATTTGCCCTTGGCCCCTGCGAGTGGAATTTTTCCGGGGTTCCCAAATGAAACTTTAAACGGCGCCCCTCTGAGCTTCTATGTAGACATCTTTCTGTTTTTTGAGGACGCCACTTCAATGGAGGCAGTATAGAACCATAAATATGGGGTACTGTACTCAGAAGTGTGGGGTAGTGATCCAAGTTTTAGGGTTGGGGGCTCCAAATCGTCACTTTCCGGGCGTTACGGGGCACTTTCAAGAGAATGGTAGCCCACTTGGGTGCGTCTTTACTTGAGGCCGCACTTCTTCTGTTTCAAGGAAAGCCAAAAGGAAAACCACCAATTTGGGGGGTCCCTGAAAAAAGATACACCCACTTCCATTGAAAAGACGGCCAAGTGATCCCGTAGGAAAGTTCCAAAGGTGAAACCAAACAGCATCCCAGCGTCCACCACCCCTTCCCCCCCACCTCCCCCCACCTCCACCTCCCCCACCTCCCCCACCCCCCACCTCCCCCCCACCTCCCCCCCACCTCCCCCACCTCCCCCCCACCTCCCCCACCTCCCCCACACCTCCACCCCCCCACCTCTTCCACCTCCCCTACCTCCCCCCCACCTCCCCCACCTCCCCCACACCTCCCCCACACCTCCACCCCCACACCTCCTCCACCTCCCCACCTCCCCACCTCTCCACCTCCCCACCTCTCCACCTCCCCACCTCCCCACCCCACCTCCCCACCCTCCCCACCCACCTCCTTCTTTTTCCGCCCGCGCCTGAAGCGGAAGCCGTAGTGCCCAGCCGGGGCGGTGCCCGAAGTGAGCCAGATCTTCACTAAAGGCAGCAGGGTCGTCGGGTGCTCAAAGACCAAACCTTGCGCCGGCACGTGCCGGGCCGTTTTGTTTGCTCTGGTGTTTTTGCCAAAGCTTCCCAACTCAACAGGCAAGAGCCTAGGTCCTCCAGATTTGAGAGGTTAGAATAAGGGTGCCGTTCTTCTTTCTTTTTTGTCTTTTTTTAGTAGGAAACCCCGAAAAAAGAGTCAAAGGGCACTACTAAAAAAACCTAATCGAATTGCTCATTTGCCTAGGGACTCATGCCCGCATATGGATGAGATGGCTCTGCGGGTCGGTATGAACTTTCATGGGCTCTTGGTGGGCATTAACATAGGGGTTTCTTGCGCAATCACGCCATATGATGTGTTGCCAAGATATCATTTGGGACGGACATGCTTGGGGCTCATTGAGTTTCCCACAACAAATCTGGAGATGCAGCACGAATTCCCCACCTGCCCCCCCTTCCAGTAGGGCAAGTAAGGCAAACCGGAATGTTTCCCGCAAAGCCAAGGCTCAATATGGCCATTGACTTGCTGGTTCGTTGATCCTTTGCTAAAGGTTAGACTTTTAGGCGAAATGAATCGAAAGTTGAACCACCCATTTTGGGGTCCCTATTTTGACACACATATTTTTGAGAGCCTCTATGTGACACCCATGAATGAGAAAACGGCCACAAGTGAATTTCTATTGGGCCCCTAATTTTGCCACGTGGGTTCATACAAATCCTTTCAAACCAACCCACAACAATGACTGGTTCCTTTTGGCGTCCTTGAAAAAGCGACCACAAGGGGGCCCATTCAACAAAAAGACACACCATGGGTTCATCTCAAACCCCTAAAATAGTCTTCGCACAAGGTATAAAGTACTCGCAGCCTTCCACCATTAGTAGGGGCAGTTAGGGGGTGTTCCCCTTCAAAAGTTGTGAACCCCCACAAAAAGCTGGACACCCCTTTATCCAAATCAAGCAGGGGTTTCCCAATCCGGAGTGATTGGCACATTTGGTTGTGGCTCACAAAAAAGGTACCCAGAATGGCACCCTAGTAAATGAAAGCATGGACTAAAACCCTGTGGTTTCATGGTAGTTTAATTTCTTAACTTTGATACAAAGACCCGGCAAAACACGCCACAAAAAAAATACTGGGGAGCCCTACAGGGGCCGGCCTTCTAGTGCACACGGGCCAGAATGGAACCCTAGTAAATGGAAGCATGGACCAAAACCCTGTGGTTTCATTGTGGTTGAATTTCTTAACTTTGATACAAAGACCCGGCAAAACACGCCACAAAAAAATACTGGGGAGCCCTACAAGGGCCGGCCTTCTAGCGCACACGGGGCTAAAACAAATCCCAGAATGGAACCCTAGTAAATGGAAGCATGGACTAAAACCCTGTGGTTCATGGTGGTTTAATTTCTTAACTTTGATACAAAGACCCGGCAAAACACGCCACAAAAAAATACTGGGGAGCCCTACAAGGGCCGGCCTTCTAGCGCACACGGGGCTAAAACAAATCCCAGAATGGAACCCTAGTAAATGGAAGCATGGACTCAAACCCTGTGGTTTCATGGTGGTTTAATTTCTTGTCTTTGATACAAAGACCCGGCAAAACACGCCAAAAAAAAATACAAGGGCCGGCCTTCTAGTGCACACGGGGCTGAAACAAATCCCAGAATGGACAAGGACCCGGCACAACACGCCACAGGAGCCCTACAAGGGCCGGCCTTCTAGTGCACACGGGGCTAAAACAAAACCCAGAATGGAACCCTAGTAAATGGAAGCATGGACTCAAACCCTGTGGTTTCATGGTGGTTTAATTTCTTGACTTTCATACAAAGACCCGGCAAAACACGCTACAAAAATTACTGGGGAGCCCTGCAAGGGCCGGCCTTCTAGTGCACACGGGGCTAAAACAAATCCCAGAATGGAACCCTAGTAAGTGGCAGCATGGACTAAAACCCTGTGGTTTCATGGTGGTGTAATTTCTTGACTTTGATACAAAGACCCGACAAAACACGCCAGAAAAGTTACTGGGGAGCCCTACAAGGGCCGGCCTTCTAGTGCACACGGGGCTAAAACAAATCCCAGAATGGAACCCTAGTAAATGGAAGCATGGACCAAAACCCTGTGGTTTCATTGTGGTTGAATTTCTTAACTTTGATACAAAGACCCGACAAAACACGCCACAAAAAATTACTGGGGAGCCCTACAAGGGCCGGCCTTCTAGTGCACACGGAGCTAAAACAAATCCCAGAATGGAACCCTGGTAAAGGGAAGACTGGGACTCAAACCCTGTGGTTTCATGGTGGTTTAATTTCTTGACTTTGATACAAAGACCCGGCAAAACACGCCACAAAAATTACTGGGGAGCCCTACAGGGGCCGGCCTTCTAGTGCACACGGGGCCCTACAGGGGCCGGCCCTTCTAGTGCACACGGGGCTAAAACAAATCACAGAATGGAACCCTGGTAAAGGGAAGCCTGGGACTCAAACCCTGTGGTTTCATGGTGGTTTAATTTCTTGACTTTGATACAAAGACCCGGCAAAACACGCCAGAAAAATTACTGGGGAGCCCTACAAGGGCCGGCCTTCTAGTGCACACGGGGCTAAAACAAATCCCAGAATGGAACCCTGGTAAAGGGAAGCCTGGGACTCAAACCCTGTGGTTTCATGGTGGTGTAATTTCTTGACTTTGATACAAAGACCCGACAAAACACGCCAGAAAAGTTACTGGGGAGCCCTACAAGGGCCGGCCTTCTAGTGCACACGGGGCTAAAACAAATCCCAGAATGGAACCCTAGTAAATGGAAGCATGGACCAAACCCTGTGGTTTCATTGTGGTTGAATTTCTTGACTTTGATACAAAGACCCGACAAAACACGCCACAAAAAATTACTGGGGAGCCCTACAAGGGCCGGCCTTCTAGTGCACACGGGCTAAAACAAATCCCAGAATGGAACCCTGGTAAAGGGAAGCCTGGGACTCAAACCCTGTGGTTTCATGGTGGTTTAATTTCTTGACTTTGATACAAAGACCCGGCAAAACACGCCACAAAAATTACTGGGGAGCCCTACAGGGGCCGGCCTTCTAGTGCACACGGGGCTAAAACAAATCCCAGAATGGAACCCTGGTAAAGGGAAGCCTGGGACTCAAACCCTGTGGTTTCATGGTGGTGTAATTTCTTGACTTTGATACAAAGACCCGACAAAACACGCCAGAAGAGTTACTGGGGAGCCCTACAAGGGCCGGCCTTCTAGTGCACACGGGGCTAAAACAAATCCCAGAATGGAACCCTGGTAAAGGGAAGCCTGGGACTCAAACCCTGTGGTTTCATGGTGGTGTAATTTCTTGACTTTGATGTTACTGGAGCCCTACGGCCGGCCTTCTTGCACACGGGGCTAAAACAATCCCAGAATGGAACCCTGGTAAAGGGAAGCCTGGGACTCAAACCCTGTGGTTTCATGGTGGTGTAATTTCTTGACTTTGATACAAAGACCCGACAAAACACGCCAGAAAAGTTACTGGGGAGCCCTACAAGGGCCGGCCTTCTAGTGCACACGGGGCTAAAACAAATCCCAGAATGGAACCCTGGTAAAGGGAAGCCTGCGACTCAAACCCTGTGGTTTCATGGTGGTGTAATTTCTTGACTTTGATACAAAGACCCGACAAAACACGCCAGAAAAATTACTGGGGAGCCCTACAAGGGCCGGCCTTCTAGTGCACACGGGGCTAAAACAAATCCCAGAATGGAACCCTGGTAAAGGGAAGCCTGGGACTCAAACCCTGTGGTTTCATGGTGGTGTAATTTCTTGACTTTGATACAAAGACCCGACAAAACACGCCAGAAAAGTTACTGGGGAGCCCTACAAGGGCCGGCCTTCTAGTGCACACGGGGCTAAAACAAATCCCAGAATGGAACCCTGGTAAAGGGAAGCCTGGGACTCAAACCCTGTGGCGTTTCGTTTCATTTTCCTACTTTGACGCCTCTCCGACCCATCCGACTGCCGACCCAGCCGACGGATCGACTTCCGAGTCGAGGCGCAGCTCCCCTGCGCCGCGGTGACGCTCAGCGGCGCAGAGGGCAGCTCCGAGGGCCAGCAGCGCAGCACCGTGCCCCGCGTGAGCTCGTCCCCCGCGAAGAGAAAGCCCTCGTTGACCTGGCCGGGCCTTTAAGGAAAAAAACGCCTGCGGACGTGGGGCTGATGGTGTGTTTGTTTGTTTTTGTTTCTTTCTTGCTGATGGAACTCAAAGAGGGTTCGCAAAAAAATGTGTTTTTTTTGCTGGTTTGAAAAGGGATCGATTATCACTACTGGGTGCATATTTATGCTTTCCGGGGGGCTTAAAAGCAAATGGAGGAAGAGATTGCCGAAAAGCCGAGATGTGGTCGTTTCGCTTGGGTTAGTGACCCATCAACCATCCAGTTGTTCCTTGGGTGAAATAACACAGGGAGCCCTTTGGTGTTGCAGCTTTTTTCCCGTTTGGTCAGAAACAGAACTGGAATCCTTTCGGGCTGGTTGACTTTCTAGCTTGAGGGAACCCATCAACCACGGCACTTAGGTGACCTGGCCAAGGGCTTTAGTTCTGCTCGTCCTGCGCAATGCCTAGATTCCTCCCGCTTCTCCAAGCAGCATGGGGGAAACAAACTGGCTAGGCACAAAAAGGCTAAACGGGTGGCTTCACTCACCTTAAACCGGGGGAAAAAGGTGGCCACCCTTCGTCAGAAGTCACCCAATTCCTAGGCCACCCTTCGTCTGGCCACTCCCCTCAGCAAGTGACCCCGGGAACCGCAAAAATCCGCATCCCTAGGCAAGGCAGGGGCCCTGGGTCGTTTGATCCAAATTGGTGAGCTCAGAATGTCGTTGCGTTGAGGGTACCCATTTTGGGTGGCATTCTAGTTGGAACCAGAAAGGATAACTTCAACATGTTGGAAGTCCACATCTCCATTTTCACACACGCACACGCCGCAAACAAACCCATGGCAGTGAAGGGGCTAGCATATACAGCACCTTTTGGACAAGATGTCAATCCTAAAACTTGAGGAGCGGGTGAACGAAAGCTAGCAGTTGTTGCATGAGATGGGTCGGTGACAGAGTGGATTCATAGGTAGCTTGTGTACAACGAGAGGCCCGGCAAGATTCGTAGGATGCGAACGCAAACGCACATGGTGGCGTGGCAAACCTTGAAAATGAAAACAACGAGAGGCGTCAGAAGCTGTTTGAAAGCACCTCTGGGTTCTGCATGCTGCGTGTGCAAAGATTCTTGCGAGGTGGTTTACCGAGAAGACTGAGGTCTCAAATGAACAAGCTGAATCGGTGGAACATGTAAAAGTTCGTAGCACCAAGTCCAAAACGGGCAAATCGAGACTGCTGAACACTGAGCCACTGCCCGGGGGGGGGGGGGGGATGGACCAGGGAGGAATCGAGCCTGAGACCTAAATAATTGATGTTTAATTGAAAAAATCAATCTTTCGGCATTTGAGCCCCTTACCTTGCTTACGCAAGGAGAAACTTCAGCTAGCTAAAGCTAGCTGGCCATGGGTCAAAAGCCGGTAACCCCAGTGAACATCCCAATCCCCACTAAAATAAACTAAAATGGGTGGTGAACGCACCCCAAAATCATTGGTTTTGACCCACAGCCATATGTCATGGGGCGACTGGACCTCAGCCACCGAACCGCAGATTTGGCTACCCGCGCTCCTCCAGCGGGGAAGCGATTCGGAGGCTGAAGTCCATGACGTTCTCCTTGAAGCCCGCGAGGTTGCACCTGGAAAAAAACGCCCGCTGGTCACTTCCCTTGCACTTCACCGCAAAGAACCCACAAATGAGTCTAGCCAAGGGAAATTGCATTTTCGGTTTGAAAAAATGAGGGAATTCTATTTCAAAGAAATTGAGGCCCACATGTGGAGGTCAAAGGAAAATGGCATTCGGTTCCTGAAAATGGGAGATGTTATTTGGGTTCCAAAGAAACGAGGCCCGCTTCTGCAGCTCCGAAAAGGGAAATGGAGGGACTGGAACCTCCCTTGGCCTTTGGGTACCTTCCCCTTTTGAGGTAGCCCCCCTCACCCGGCTGAGACTTCATAGCTGTCGCCGTCTGGGAGCAGGAGCTAGCGTTGACCCTTGATTTGTTCAGCCCTGGTTGACGAACAGCACATGTATCAAAGCAACTGAGCCAACTAGTTTCAAGGAAAGGGTTGGATGTTTTTCAGGCGAAAGCTGCAGCCACCGCGACTCCATCGCCTGGACTCGATGAAGACGTCGTGCACCACTCGGATCTTCGGTGCCTCGATCATGGCGGCCTGGCGGTGGCCAGACCCACCGGCAGAAAAAGGGATCCATCCGTTTGGGGCCGAGGCCAATGGGCAACGAAGCAATGGATTTAGAGGGTGCCAAAGAACAAATGAACATGGCTTCAGGTGCCACTGAACAACTGGACTCCCAAATCAACCTGTTGTTGCTTAGCAACAAAAGCTGGATCTCTGGGAGCAAAACAACACAACACACACACACAAAGGCAGAACCAAAGAACTCCAAATGCAAATAAGTGAGCATATCTTGGGACAAAAACACGCATCTCGCATTGGGTTCCCCTTGAAAGGGAACACCTCCATGATAAGTGCCAGAAGCTGGAAGGGTTTCAACATGAGTCAGTCCCCCCCCAAAGAAAAAAGGTTCGGGGCCTGCATGCGCTCTCGGCCTTCCGTGCCAGGGTCGAAGCCAATCCTCGGCCAGCGGCGGAAACCGAAACCCGCCGGCGCCGGGCGTTTTGGCGTTTTGGGTTTGCGAAGGCTGAGAAAAGAAAAAAACACGTGCCAGACGGAGTCTGCTTTTGTACATCCCCTTTTAGCTTTCCTTTACTTCCATTTGCTTAAGCCCCCGGGGAAACATATTTCCAGTAGTGATAGATGTCCCTTTAAAACCAACAAGGGAAAATCACATATTCTTAAGCAAATGGAAGTTTATGGGGAAGCTCAAAGTTCGAACTCATTCTAACATTTGTTTGCCAGATCATCAATAAACCTGGCGAATCAGCAAAGGATATGCCACCAACAAGTGACTCGTGACTGGCATCTCCTGCAGATGGGTTGCACGCAATCATCAATTTAACTGAGTCGACAGTTGAATGGTGAAGCAAAGGTGTTCCAAGAACTGAGGCCCCCCCCCCTCTTAGCCTAGAAAGGGACGTCCCTGATTTTTCACACACACACATACATATATATATATACATATTTCCTTTCTATCCAGCATATTGTCCACTTTGGGGTCAACACAGCTGGTTCTTCAGAAGGTATGGTAAAGATCGAATAGTTTTCCTCTGCGGCTTACTCTGTGGAAATTGAACATGCTGTTCGGCATCCGCCCGCTTGTGAGACCATACCTTGTCTCAAAGCAAGATGCGATTCGGGAGATGTGAGGGTCTCCTCCACACCAAATGTTGCACGTCAAACCACCGGCCTATGTGATCACGTCAACCCGTCTTAAGATATTTTCTTTTCGCTGATGACGATGGAGATGCCGAAGCCCGGAGGTGTAAACATGGTAAAAGTGACCAGTTATTATGAATACCCTCACAGAAATTAATTACTAGCTACGGTTTTACACGCCACAGGTCCAAATTTTGGGAAAACCTGCGAACGTGTCGCAGCCCAAACGCAGAAACCAAAGCGCAAAGAGTACCCCAAGGGCATTGGCCTGGACCCATTTTCAGATTCACCCCATGAGGAAACAAGCGTGTTTTGGACTCCGAACATGAAAGTTCCTCTCTCCTCACATTTGGCCCTTCGATCCCTCATTCCCAGTGATTGAAGAAAAAGTCAGGCCCTGACCTTTGGCTCAAAAACAAAAACGCGAAGCGCCCAGAAAAACCGAAAAACCCCTGCGCCACCCCCCGCGTCCCTCGCCCCCTCGCGCTGCTGATCAAGGGGCTCCAGGAAGAAGGCGTTGGTGGAGCGCGTGGGGGGCCGCATGGGCACGTAGACCCGCACACGGAAGCCGAAGGCCTTGCTGGATTTGGGGCGCTTCTCGACCGCTGGGGGAAGGTTTTTTGGGGTTCTGCCAAAAAGTTTCACTTGTGGGTTCACTGAGAATAAAGTGAACCCACAAGTGAACCCACAAGCGAAACCTGTGAAACATGTGGGTTCACTTGTGGGTTCTGATGTCCCACGAAGTCACAAAGTCTACAGTCTGTAGATTGATTCGCCCGGCTTTCGGGGGGCCATCGCTTCATGAGACACAGCTGACACGGATGGACAAAATCCGAAGGATCCAGTTGGTAGATAGGCTATCCACCAGTGGTGGAGTTTCATCCGAACTAGGGTTTTGTCCATAGGCAGGTGGGCAAATCCTACTACTTGGGGTTGTCTTAAAGGGACACAATGACCAAAGGCTCAAAAAAAGACACACCCACTAGGTCACTTTGCTGGCCCTATTGGTGTCGACGTCCCCCACCCCTATTTCCCACAACCATCGTCCGTTTCAGTGATGCCGGTTTGTGGCAGAAGTCCTGAAGTAAGTATCGCAAAGAACGGATTCCCATTCCCAACTACCAATTGTGAGGGGCAGACACATTATTCCCTTATGATCCTTACTCAGTTTGACCTTGGTCCACATGTGGGGTGGACATAAAAATTAAATGTGTTTTCAGATTGTGTTCTATATGAAGAAGTCCACCCCAATATTGGTTTGGGTTGGTGATTTGGATTTTAGGGGTGGTTTCCCAATCAACCTCTACAAGAACTAGAAATTCAAACCCCCAAGCCAAACCACCAAGTAAGGGGTACTCGAAAAAATACCCCACAAACCCCGTCTGCCCTTCAGCCTGATTGATACGCATCACCAAGTCCGGCAAGATGAGCTCGTTCCTGACTCTTTGCCGGGCCGAAAGCCCCCCCCAAAAAAAACACACACACACACACAAAAGAAAAGCACCACATGGCAGCCACAAGGCGAAGGCCAAAGAAAGGGTACATCACGGAGGGCAGCTCGCCACGGGGACATAAAGGGTAGCCATATCTTCACTCCTCCAACAGTGGTTGGACGGAAGGTAAATGCTACATAGCCAAATGTTCAAGGGGGATCCCCGAAGCTTGCGCGCCTTAGATTCAAGCTGAGAACAAGCAGGACCACATCCAACCACAAAGCCTTGATAAACTGCGGCAACAGATGCGCGATGATATATATATATATATATGAATGTATGTATATATGTCTATGTGTGTGTGTGAGTATGTGTGTTTGTGTGTGTGTGTTCAATTTGTTCCCCTATTTACAATATCTATGGCACCCACCGTCGCGCCAAGCGTGTCTTTCTTGCCTTCGACGCCAATCCTTGCTGGACCACAAAAAGTGCGGGCCCCGCATCTTGGACTTGGCCATGTGTCAAAACAGTTGGACCCGAGCAGCTTCCCTTTGGCTTTCCTTTCAAAAGTCAAACTCGGTAAAAAGCGGCGGGGGGGTCCGAAAAACACAGACACAGGTCCGTTTGGTTGTCAAAACCAGGGAACCAAACAAACACAAAGGAACCGGCTTGAAGCTTCCCACCGGTTTCAACGCTCCCAGCCCGGGACTTTTAAGAGGATGCCCGACCTGCGAGAGGGCAACTCATCCCCAAAAAGGCTGACGGAAAAATGGCCTCAAACCAGACCGCGCCGGAAACTGGCCATGAAACAAAGGGCTGACGCTTCTTTGCCAGTGCGCAACCTGTTCATCCAAAGGAGTCGGACTCAACGATTCAACGATTCGACCCAACACCGGGGCTCCCCGCACCCGATTTGCCCCCTGAAGAGAGCCAGGGAACTGAAACCTGACCACGGGACTGACGATCAGCTCGCAGTACCTGAGCCAGAAACACGGAAGGTTCAATAAAATCCGCTTCGCACCGTTTACCAGTCCTCCATTTGCTTAAGTCCCCTGGAAAAACAAGAATATTTCCAGTAGTGATAGATTCCGTTTAAAGCCAGGGAAATAAAACATATTCTGAACCAAATGGAAGCAGTTGGGATGGGTTAAAATCCTATACCGGGATAAGCCGCCTACCAACTCAGCCACAGTATGAAAGCCATACAGGGCTGGCCAACGCCTAGTCTGTTGGCAAATAGCTTTGCTCTGTGCAGCCCGATGAAAACAAGCAGGACAAAGCAAGCAAAGGTAAACATGACATGCCAAGAACGGTGAAGAGGGTTCTGCGCTTTAAGGCCCAAGTGTGGCCTGAGGCTTTCTGGCTCTCCCTCCTCTTTGCAGCTTTCTTGCCAGGGAATGCGTGTCTTGTTCGGCCACTTGTGGTACCAAGGTGACTTTACCAGTTCAAAGGGGGCAACCACCGACCCAAAACATCTCACTTTTGAAGGTTGGCCAGCCTCACTTTTTGCCGGTGTGGAATGCTTTGATGTTGAACTGCCCCGTGAGTTGTTTGGCAATTGGAGCTCCCCAATGCTCCCCATCCCTGACTCCTTGGATATCGCCCCCGAGGTGGAAATTTAGCAAGTCCCCCACCCCGCGTGCCGAACCATAGGCCACCAGCAAGTTTGCCCGTCGATCCCCTTCGATCCATGGTACTTGCAGGTCACGTTGGGCACATATCCCAGCCAACCCTCCTCGGCGTCAGGCATCCACACATATCCTGAGGCCGATCTGAGGTTCAACGCTTGGACTGGGTGGCTCGGTGGATGCCCTTGGTAGGTGTTTGCTTCTATCATTCAGATTCATAGCGCTTTATCCATCCCAACTGTTGCAAGAGTCTGTCTATCCACAGTACTAAGGATTCCCAAAAAGCTAAAGGCTAAGGACCTGAGGATCTCTCGGAACTCAGGGAATTGCCGTTACGAGTCTCGCCGGGTCTGTGGGGAAAAAGAGGGGGGGGCCTGGAAAAACAGAACAAATGACGAATCCCCGTTTGGCTTGCGGGACAATTTAGTAACAAAGGAAGAAACAGCAGAAGGGGATACTCATGTGGTGGAGTTTGAAGGCAAAACCCACCCATCTAAGGGTTGAATCGAATCATTCTGGTTGTTTATCTTCTGTTCAGAATTTTTCAGAAATTGTTATTTTCCTTGGGTGTTGGGCAACTTCCTAAGATAAGCATCCCTCAACACAAAAGGGATGGTGCAAATTAGAGTGGAACTCTTTTCCCTGAGATCTGGGGTCAAAATGTCTACGATTTTTGCAATGTTTGCAAAACATGAGGGATGCTAGCAAAGGAGCTATGTCATGGGCTATGGGGTCAATCACCAGGCAAGTTGCTGCGAGGGGGCTGCTCCTGGGTTGTGGTCTTTAAAGGAAAGCAAAAGGAAAGCCACCATTTTAGAGGGTCCCAAAACAAAGGCACACCCCTATATGAGCATCTACTTATTCTGATGGACCAACCGCTGGCTACACCTGACTCTTCAACCACCAAGGGGCCCGAAACCGGATTCCACAGGCATAATTTCACACAATCATGTGTCAAAGCCTGCCATCTCCAAAAAAGAATATTCCAGTCGTTCTTGGTGTCGTGCTGTCTGAGACCCCGTGCTCTTGATGCAGATCAGCCGCCCAGTGGCGCGATGACCCGCAGACTGGAGAGCACCCCGTTGGTCGAGGGCGTCAGCGCGTAGACTGTGAGGAAGGCGCTGGTGGCGAAGGCGGCGGTGGGCAGAAGACCTCCGCGTCGGAGAAGGGTCGGAGAATTTCGGAGCAAGCCCCAAACCATCCAAGGAGACTCCTCTGAAAATTGTAGGGGGGGAGGGGTTCAGTGAAAAACAATACAAACATGACATTTGTAGATTGCCGAGTTATACAACTATTCCAAAACCTGCCAACACCTGAAATTGAGGAATCCCCCAAGAAAGGACCTATGGTGAACTCGTTTCAACTCGAGTTGCAGTGACCGCTAAACACAGGGTAGCCTTCCCGAGCAACAGGCCTAACCTTTGCAAAGGCTAAATGGGAAAACCGTTTGTTTCCCAAAAGGCCTTCTCTCACTCACTAGGATCCAAACAGCCTCCCGTAATCCACCCCTTCCCCTGGGTTGGAAGAAGCGGGGTTGGAATCCTATGACTCACTCTAACAGATACGGCTTGGAATGCCGAAGGGGCGCCTTGAGCAAACGATGTTCATCAAAGTGCGTTGTGCTGGGTGACACATGGTTTCTAAAAAGTGGGCAGGATGCTACACACATGATTGTCGTTCGGTGCAAGCAGGAACCCATTTGTTAGCCGCTGAACGGGTCCCCTAAGCCTTGGTAGTCACAGAGCGCCCCAACATCCACAGACCTCCGGTCCAGTTCAAGGAACTTTGGCCCGAGCTGGTTCTGCTTGTGGTGGCATAGCCCAACTTTTCAGGATCTAGATCATGTTCCTGGATTCACACCCCTTCGGTTGATGTTGATCAGGGGGAGCAAACCAATGCAGAGGGGATCTGGATTGCTGTTTGGGGGGAACACGCCCCAATAGCCCGACAGGGGGTTTCTTGGATCGACCACGATCACAGCTGAAAGCACCCCCAAACAAACCCTCAACTGATTTTCTCCGCAAGGGTGATGTGAAGCCACTCTTTTGGAAGCCAAACAAAAAGGCGCCGCTCAACGCAGTCCACGGCAAAACGGTTCAACGCGGTCCCCCAACTGCCCACAGCGCCCACACCGTCCACACCGTCCGAAGGCCGAAAGCCGAAGCCGGGGAGCGCGGGGCGCCGAAGTCGAAGTACAGCGGCAGCTTCGTGCTGGAGGGATACACCGCCCAGCCCCTGGGAGATTTGAGGTAGGGCCCTCCAGTAGAGAGGTTAGAAGAAGGGTGCCATTTTTCCGTAGTCTATTCTGGTAAACGCTCCGCCAAACAAGGGCAAAAGGGCACTACTGCGGGAGGGTTCTCCTATTGGCTTCCAATAAATACAGGTGTGGCGCTAAATTGAAACGGGCGTTCGAACACTTCCGGTCTAAAACCGAATCCAGAAGAAGCGCTTGCTTCGCAGGCTTCAAAAGCCTGCCCTCCGTTTGCTGAAGCCCCCTGGAAAAATCCAGTCATAGATTCCCTTTAAAACCAACAGGAGAAACAAACATGTTTTTCTCAAGCAAGTGGCAGGCACTCGTTCTACTTCCAAGGCTTGAACAGTTTAATCTCTGATATCGTGGTCACACAGCCACCCAAAAAAGACCAACACATAAGCCGTTGACAGCTTGATATTGGCTGGTTTTCAGCAAGTCATTTAGACCCACTTCCACAGGCTTTAAAAATTGTATTTCTCTGATTTGCGTGCCCAAAGAGCAAAGCAAAAACAACAGCGGCAAAAAACGCAACACATGCGCTCTATTTTTACACGACGGGTAACAAACAAACAACACATGCCAAACAAAGAGGACACAAACTGCATATTTCATTTTGGCACCACATTCGGAAACTCAGCAGACATCAGTCAATTATTTAGCACCCAGTTCACTTACCTGAATTCAATAATGCCTAAGGGACCATGCAAAGGTTAAAAGATAGCATGAGCAGCTTTTGACAGGAATCCCCACCTTAAAATCACTCCTATCGATGGAAGCTCACCCATAAGCCATAAAAGCGCTATCTAAAAACAAACTCTTGGTGGCCAGGGGAATTGGAACAGGGGCATTCCTTTTTTGGGGGTACTTGAAATCTCAAAAGGAACCCCCCTTCGCCACAAAAGGAACCCCCCTCAAACAAAAACAACTTTCACAAGGGTCTCCCCCCCCTTCAAAAAAAAAAGAAAAAAAACATTTTCAGAAGGACTCCCCCCCCCCCTCAAAGAAAAAAAAAACAAACCGGGACACCGACCAAGCCCTCGTGCCCCTGGGCATCGGCCCTCGCGCCTGTCGTGGGGCTCCACCGGCAAGGAGTCCACGCGGGCAGCGTTGAACTGCACGGAGTACCTTGGGCGTGGGCTTCGTCAGACCTGCAAAAACTGTTACGCCCTTTGGTGGTCCAAAGCAGGGCGGGGAATGGAATCCACTTCTGTGATACAAAAAGGGCCTCCCAAAGACTATGTTGTTCATATAAAGGGGGATTCCCTTGTATCACAGAATGCCACAACCCTGGTCCAAAGGGAATTCTCATGGACCAGGGGTCCCTGGAAGTCCCCAGTTGCAATCCACTGGTTCCACTGAAACGATTGGGGTCCATTTTGGGTGCAAAGAAGCGAAATGGAGCGACGCCGGAGGAAATCAAAAGGAGAGAGGCGAGGAGTGCGCCGAGTCTGGCCTCGGTAAGGGTGACATTTCCTGGCTGTAACAAGGGCAACTTGGATTGAAATCCCCCCACCCCTCCCTGTATTCCGATGGCCTGCGCTTTCCGACCTGGTCCCACAAACCAACAAGTGGCATCATACGCAGAGGATGCCAACCTCCCGCGACCCTGCTGTTTTGCTAGTAATGCCCAAGATTCTTGGTTGCTGTTGACCCCCCTGCAAAAAATGCTGAACTTTTTGGGGGTTTAGTGGAAAACCCAACTTGATGTCTCAAAAAGTTAAAGTCTAAAGATCCAACCCAATAGCAGTCAAGGATTGGGGAAGAAACCAGGGAGAGGTAGGTGAGGGCTGGACCCTATGGTCAAGCAGAAGAACCCAAGGATGAAGTTTAGCAACGTTCCCCCCTCCTCCAAACCTGGGCTTGGGCCTGCGGGGAGTTGCCACTCTCTTACAAATAGAACCAGCGTTAAACGGATCCTTTAAATGGAACCCCTTTGGACAACAATGGCCGCCTGCCCCCCCCAAAAAAAACAAGAAAGAAAAAAGAGGCACAATTGCCCCCCGCCGCCCCCAAAAAAAAGAAAGAAGGAACAACAAGAAAACAACAACACACACACCAAAAAAACAGATCGCCGGCCTGGAGCCGTCCACCATGTAGCCCTCGGGGCTCTGGAGCCACAGCCGCCACTCGTCGTGCTGAGTCAAGTTCCACTCCCCCGGGTTCTGCACCAAAATGGCGAAGCCGTAGTACTTGCCTCAGCTTCTTCTTTACAAAACGGGGCCAAAGCGGGGGGGGACCTCATGGTGTGTCAAACAATTAGTTCTTGTTGTTGTTTGTTGGGGGAGGGGGGGGGGCTTCTAAAAACAGGGGTTGTCGTTGTTCTTGCTTCTTCTTTTTTTTTCCGGGGGGAGGGACCCCACAGAATGGGTGGGTTTCCCTTTGGCTTCCGCATGTCTGGCAAGTTTTGGTGCACTTCCCAGTTGCCCAGTGCCCCCAGTAGAAATCGGCCAAAACGTGTACCCTTGTTGGGGACATGATTGAGTAGGAAGAAAGGTTGCTCTCATTTTAAATGTTGATGATAATTCTACCGATGTTAGACCTGAGCAGGGTTTTGGTGCAGGTCCCCTGACAAGCCAGGCCACCCAGAAGTAGCGTGCGCCCAATCCGCAGGATCGCCCGCGTAAAGGGGGCAGTCGCAGTGGGAATGTCCGCAGGCCGCTGCCAGTCATCCTAAGGTGTTCGTCCAAACCGCCGGTTCTCTGGGCTCATACAAAACTTGGTTGCTGTTGACCCCCCTGCAAAAAGTGTTGAACTTTTTCGGGGTTTAGTGGAAAACCCAACTTGATGTCCCAAAAAGATAAAGCCTAAAGATCCAACCCAATAGCAGTCAAGAAAATGAAATGAACAATGGATAGCCATAGCGTGGATGGTTGCGAAATATATTTCGCACCGCTTTGAAACCATGGTTGAAACCATGTGGGAATACTTCCAGGGTTTCCTAGCTGCTGCAGGACTTTGTCCGATTACAGTATGAGGCGGCCTTTTTCGAAGATCGTGGTTTCTTTTTGTTTTTTGTTTTTGTTACCAGGAAACCTTGAGAAGACACCACCTATTTGGGGGTCGCCCGATTTTTGACATGTGCCTGAAGCCGTTCTTCGAGCCCCCGTTTTGAAGGGGCACTACAGGAAGGCAAGACTCAACATCAACCACATCTGCGCGTCGGCCCAAAAAAGGCTGAGCTTCTCAAACAACCAATCCTAATCCATAATCCCTACTGACACCAAAAAAAAAGGCAAAAGGGGACCGCTTTCGTAACCCCTTGTCTTTGAGACCAGAAGAAGCGAAGCAAATACATTCGCTGGGCTGCTACGCCCTGAAGTGCCCACCAACAGAAAGGAAAAATAAAACCTTTGGGACTTTGGGGGCGGAAACATTGCACATCGAAGCACCAGGCCTTCTCCAGTGGATTTCACGGGTTTTCGCATGCCATACCTTGAAGCCAAGCACCCTCAAAATCCAAGACCCTCAATGAAGGTGGTAGCAAAAGAGACTTCACAGGCAGCTAACCAAACAGATTTGAACTATGGTTTCAAGCACACCCATATGCGTAAGGGTATCGGAAACACAAAGCTACACTGCACGTGTCCACCCTGCGTCCCCTCCCCTGGTTCAATTGGATCCTCCCAGTTTGCCTGGCCAACTAAACTATTTCGTATTCTTTATTTACCGTGAAAATTACACAAGTGGTAGGCTAAAGGCAAGGAACCCCAGTTTGCTGACATAAGCCCTAGAATTAAGGACGGCTTCAGGTACGGCAGGGAAAGGACTGCTTACAAGCTGGCATTTGTCGTTTTTCGGCATCCATACCGCCAAGACTACCTGGAAATGCCCTTGACTCAGATGCCCAGTGGCCCTCGGAAACAAAGGGCACCCTTTTTTGGTTGGTTGAGTTTACCTCTACCCCCAAAAACCCGTCCAAACGTTTTGACCCCCCGACCAGGCCGAGAGGCCGCGGAGCAGTTCACGTCGGTCCCAAAGGCGCCGGTGGGCCCCTGGGCCCCCGTGAGGCCCTGAGCCCAGGGAAGAGCCTCCCAGTCCTGCGGGAGGAACTCGAGCAGCGCCCCTATGAGCCATAGTCAAAACTGGGCTCAGATCCCCCGCGAAAAGTTCAACTTTTAGTGGGTAAAATGCAAACTACCACTAAGCACTAAAAGGCGAAAAAGCTAACCGGATGGCTGGGCCACCAAGAAAGCCATGGCTCGTTCCGTTTGTGTGGCCTATGGTCAATTCTCCCCATGCTAGGAATCCTTGTGGTTAGGATGCCTGCCAGGTGGATTACCATCCCTCTTAACTGCAGGTAAGGGGGGTCTCTTTTAAGCATGGCACACGTACGGTTGTCCTTTTTTTCGGGCGCACCCGCCTTTCAGGGCGTATTTGTTTACGGTTCTCCTGTTTGAGGCTAAAGGGGCACGAAAAGCACGCTTTTGACGGGCGCATGAGATCGCAATGGATTTCATGGAGAACCGTTGGTGGTCTCCTGTAGGTGCAAATTCATGTCCACCAACCATTCCTATGAAACATCATAGGTATGTGCTCACTTTCATCAACAACCCACCAGCTCGCCTCAAATTGAGCCAAAAACCTGGTTCAACGACTGATGGGAAGTATAGGGGGCCTGGCCAAAATGGCCCCTGCTGAGGCCTGCCCACGACAGGGGCTGAAACGATATGGGATGATATGGATCTGTGGGGGAGTGAAGTCATGGCCAGGGGAAAATAACTAACCACTCCACCCTTAGACCATCTTCCTTGGCAAGCACCTGGAAATAAACACTCAAACTTGACTAACATAGGCCAAATATGACAAACAAAATTGTCACAGATCGATTCGACCTGGATTGGGAGGAAACGGGCCACATGCTTGTGGACACACCCCATGTGCGAGACACTCTACATACCCCTTAAGTGGTATAGACAAAGCTTCTTTCTTCCAAAGGACGCCTTCAATCCAACAAATCAAAGCACGCCAGAACTTTTTCGCGTTCAGGTCCCTTCTTTAACAGCTGTTTCGTGTTGTACGATGGACTGGTCTGGGGGGTCCAGAAAAAATGCAATGTGAACCCACGGTCAACATATCCGAGTCCTTTAAACTTTATGACAAACTAGTCAGTCTCCCTATGTCTCCCTATATCCTTCCCAAACAGGGTTGCCCAGTTGCCGAGTTGCCCAAGCTAAACATCCAGAAAGAAAGTGGCATACACTTCCTCACCTGTTCTTTATATGTATCGATAAAAATATGTATATGTATTGCTATGTGTATATATATATATATGTATGCGATAATATAATGTGTATGTCTCCCCTTGGTTTGGTGAACCAGCCCCACAGCTCCAACGGTTGCCCTCTTGCCCGTGGTCCTGGTAGTAGGCTGTCTCCAGCTCGTGCACTTGGCAGCTCAGCGTAAAGTCGTAGCCCGGGGGAGCGTCCAGCAAAATCAGGGAGTGCTCCGGCATGTTCCGCGTCATCTGGAAGAAGACCCTGCGCTCCGGGCCTTTCTTTGAGCCCCTAGATTTGCGCCTTACAGGGAGGGAGCCAAAGGAAGGTGCCGCAAGACTGGACCAAAACGAACGTCTATGTTGTCGCACCCCCCCCAAAAAAAATAAGAACAACAAAACATGCTGAGCTCTTCAAAATTGAGAGCTCCCATTCGAAAATTCAGCCCAATTGGACCACAAAGGGGACGTTGTGCGGATTCCAAAGAAAAGAATTTAGGATGGCCTTGGAAGAGCCCTGTTTTGTTGAGGGTGCCCTTTAGAAGACCACTGTTTGTCAACATGGGTATTTGGACCCATAGAAATGGTGGCGCTCCTTTCGGCTTCCCTTTGCCGAAGATAGCCTCAGGAAAGGCGGCAGCTCTATGCAAGGCACACGTCCTGAAATTCGTTGCTTTGAACCCAAGGGAAAACTTTGCCATAAGACCCGAGATGCACACTCCACAGATCGACTTGCCTCATGCCAAATTGCCGAGTCCTGCTTTTGTGGCACATCCAGCGAGTGAAATGTGCCTCACAAACTGGGCGTAAGCTTTTGGAATTCGGGCAACCCAACAAACAAAGTACCTTTTGAGGAAGGAACCCACTGAACACTTCAAGGAAATCCACGAATCCACTTCAATGATTCTTGGTTCAAAGGGGAACCAACAAACAGGAACCCCTACAAACAGATTCACTCTGACAATTCGGGCATGCCTCAGGGTGTTCTCGGCGTGGTTGGTGAAGTTGGAGGGTTGCAGAGACTCCCCCTCCAGCGTGCCCAGCACTGCGAGGTTCCCCACCCAGCCCGGCACCTCCTGTGCTGGCGGGAGGGCGAGGTACCAAGGAGGCAGAAACCAAAGGCGATGCAAACTGAAGAGGTAGAGTTGGGCGAAGGTAGCTGACATTTGCTTTTGGCTTTGCCATCCCCCGTACATTTACCGGGAATGGTGCCTGGTTTCACCCATTCCGTTCCTGACTAAGTGCAATCCCCAGTGCATTCAACCCAGCGCTCACTGCCAGTCCAAACTGTTCACGCGCCACTCAGTTGGCATTTGCCGACAAATCCAACCACCACCCACCTTTTGAGGCGGCCAAAGCGGGCTAACCGAAACTCGAGCCAAACAGAAGCTCAAAGCTTGGAAACGGAACAGCTCTGGTTCAGCGGGTTTTCTGAGGACCCCCATCAAAATCAAGCGTCTTGTTGTTGTTTCTCATTTGGCCCGCCTTCTAGCGATCCGAATTCCCTCCTTTTAAGGAGACACCCCCTTATCACTTCCGGGGCTTCTTTGTGACTCCTTTCCGTGGCTGAAATCTCGCATTCTCTGATACCAACTACGTCACCCACATGACTACAAACCCTTCACCACTCACAGAAAGTGGCAACGGTCACCCAACCATCCACAAGTGCCATCCTTCCCCTACCCTATCCGTGACAAGTTAGGGACCGCCAAGACTTCGGTGTTGCTTCTGGCTCCCCAAAAAGAGCGCCCTCAACAAAACACATCACATCCCCCCCCCAATCCCCCTTTGGAGGTCAAAACCCCAAAAATGAATGCGAAGTTGTTTTTGGCTTTTCTTTAACCAACCTCAAGAAACGGTTTCTCAGCCTCAACATATTGGCTTTGAATACGCTCCCCCAACCTCAATATGTTGGTTTCCTTTTAAAATCCAAAAACATGACGTTTTCTTGTTGGTTTCCCTCTAAGCCAATCTCAGGAAAGCACAATCCAGACCTCTCTCTGGCACCGTTCCGGCCCCTCCTCCTCCAAGGACATAAACTGCGCGGGCGGGCCCAGCACATCCCCCTCCGAGGTGATCAATTGGATGTGCCAGCGGTTCCGCTCGTCCGTCTTCAGCAGAGGCCGCAGGGGGTTTTGCACCGAGAGCCGCACGTCGATGAATTGGTTCCTTCGGGTCAAGCCTTGGAACCTCCCGAGCAAGGGACTAAACTCACCCAGACTTGGTGTCCTTCCCCTTCTTTGGTGGTGGTTTTAAAGGAAAACCAAAAGGAGAAAAACTCTTTATCAAAGAAGACCCCCGAACAAACCGACACACCCAAAGAGGGCCAAGGTGATGTTTAAAGCAACCCCAAAGGATTGCTTTTCCGTGGGGTTCGCAGAGAACACCTCACCTATGGGCCAAAGAATATGGCTGTAGTGTTGATTGTTTTGATTCTGGGGTCCCTTCATTTCCCCTAAGGAAATCTCACCTATTTGCAAACAAAATAACCTTACACCGACCCGAAAACAAAGAACTTCTTTGGGTTTTGCAAGGGAATGTGCCAATCTAGCAGTAACAAGGGGCTCAAGCAAGGGCTCATAGACACAGCCTTTGGCATTAATTATGTTCAGCGGGCATGAGACAAAGGTTGTCTTGCTCCAGCTTTGCCTTGATTGGGTTTGGTCTGGAGAAAGCTCACCATCCGGGTGCCTAGGAAAGCCAGCCAGTCATCAAAGCCATCTGATGTCTACAATGTTTGCTCCATGTCGCTTCCATCGAGTTGTTCAAAACCCGCGGTTTACCTTCGGGAAGTGTGAAATTCAAAGGTCCGGGCGAAAGCTCCAGGAAACCACAGGCAAACCTGCCAGGATAAGAGAGCAGCTCCCAACACCTGTTGACTTTGGGCTCTGACATCATCAAAAGCTTTACATTGGTTTTACTGCAAGCCCGGCTGAAACGAGGTAGTAGAACCTTGTGACCTGCGCTCAGCACACACACACACATAATCAACACGCGCACACGCACACGCGCACATACGAGCACACGCGGGACCTCAACGCGTAGCTACCGTTGGCCGCGCGCGCGAAAGAAAGAGAGAGTGTGTGTGTGTGAGAGAGAGAGAGAGAGAGAGAAAGAGAGAGGACTTTTTGGGCACTGCTCTTGGCAAAAACCTCCTGGGGAATGAGTCCGAACTCCTCCAACCAAGACCTCTCAGTCCCGATGTCAAACGCAACGCCCGGTCGAGGGTCGCGAAAAGGGCGGCCGTGCTCTCAAGGCTGTACTTGCACATGCTGCCGTCCCACCTCAGCAAAGGAGCTGCCGAGCGCCCCCTCGGAATTCCATGGGCTTGTCTAAATGGAACCACCTGGGTGGCAAATCCTTCCCGCTTCCCTTCAAAACACCCCAAAACTGCAAGCACAATGTCTCAAAACACACAAAACGGGTGCATATATGATTTTTAATGGACATGGACCCTGAAGTGACATGATTTACATGTGTTCCTTGTCGGCCACACATGCTTGATGGAAATGCACGAGAAACTGCAAAAAGCAATAACAATCTGTTGGTTTCTCCTGAAATTATTTGAGTGGGGAACCTCCAAGCCCGGGTCCCATCCCAAAAAAACGATTCCTCTACCAATGGTTGCGTTTCATGGTGCCTGCGTGCGTGTTGTTTTAAGTTTTCAGGGGGCGGGTCCATTGCTAGGGTTTGTGAAAGGCGCCGGAGTGGTTACCAAATAAAGTGTGGCTCCGAGCATCTCCGGTACACAATGCCTCTGTGAGGGCCTTCATATTGTCATCCCCGAGGTTGAAACACAGCCTTGATTTCTGACCCCCTGCCTGCAGAGCCGCCAAGACACAAATCCTCATCTGATGCTTGGGGGCCCTGTTTGCATTTGCAATTATTTGCTTGGCGCCAGGTCACCAACTCGGTCGGGCACAAAAGTGACCCCTGATTCTCCCGAATGGAAGAAAGGAAGTCGAGCCTTTTGACTGAGGGGTACCAGTTGATATGTGGAGTATCAGGGTTTCCCAGTCCATATGGGCTCACATCTGAATGGGGTTTGAGGTTGTTTCCCTTCGAGGCCCCTTTCAAGACAACAGGGGGCCCTCAATGAAAGACACACCCTAGCCCTTCTGCCTTCTTTGCTCTGAAATTCCTACGGACTCCATTTGATCAAGAAAGCCACGGTTGAACAATGTAGCGCCATACCATGTTTGGGAAAACCCTGCTTCTCACTGGCGGAAGGAGGGTCAAGGCTGCTGTCGGACGTGTTGCAACGTCGGAACCACTTGTGCTTGGGGCTGAGCGGGCCAACATTTAACCTAGAACTAGTTGACCCCATTTTAGGTATTCTTCTCCGATTGTCCCCAACAAGCTTCAAGGCTTCGTTTGCATCTAGAGTCTAGAGTAGTGTTCCCCTTTTATGGGTGAAAGTCGGCACGCTTTCCCCATTTGGCTTTACTCATCCCCTTTGTTTCCCCTCATCTACCGGGAATTCCGCAATCTACTTCCATGAGACCATCCAGGGGTCCCTAACGAGGCGCTAAGACCCTTGGGCCAGGGGCCCAATGGGGGCCGACCTCAGACCTGTCTCTCCGAGAACCCGAGGTTCTGAGGACCCGGCGACCACTGGCCGCTGAAGACCGTGCTGGCCGGGTTGTCCACAAAGCCATCGTTGTTCAAGTCTTGCCTCGGCTGGTTTCAAGTCATTTAGGTTTCGAGGGCAACCGGAAATCCAGCATTTTATTTTAATAGGCCCTTGCGGGTGAATGAAAGCAGATGGCACTGTTCCCCCATCTTTCTTTACATAGTCACTCCGTTACCCACTTCCGATTGTGCCATCTACTTGTTTGTTCGTCCTTGTGTACCCTTGTGCTCCCTTGTTTATTGTTGTATGCTTTGGATATGGGCTATCAACCCAGTCAACCGCTGTAAGCCGGTATAAACTGCCCCTCCCAAACAAGAACTACATTATACATCAATGCATATGTTAGGCGGGGCCGATTCAAAAATTGGAGAACGCCTCCCTCCCCTTCCACACATTTACAAGATTCCAACGCTCCTCCGCTCCCGTTTTCCCGCCTCCCCCCTGTCCTTATTGGCGTCATTTTGGAAGGGTGGATCCTGCATGCCTGGATCCACTACAGAAGGGCCTCTCTTGGGGGGTGGGTTCTTGAAACACAGGGATTTAGTAGTATTTTGCGTATGTTTCCTTGGTACTTTCAAAAAAACACTCGAGAACACCAAACAAGCAAACAAAACAAAACATGTCGAATGTCCTCACAAAAACCCGGCCAGGGCGCTTGAAGAAGCTCTTCTCGCCCAAGGGGTCTGCTGTGCCATTGCCCACCTCGGCATGTCTCGTCAGCTGCCCAGATAAACCCGGAAAGAAGAGCCTAACCTTTTGGGGGCCGTGAGTTAAAAGTAGACCCAAAATGGGAAGACCAAGAGGGCAAAGGTCGGCGTTGGGCAACTGAGATTTTTCACAGTATATGGAATTATCATGCGTGAATCAATTCGGGACGTCCCATGTTGGAGATAATTCTTCACTTCTGAGCGAAACACCCGCCTATCAGTTCAAACTTTCTAGGCAAATGACAGCAATTCACCAACGGAAACAAAGGACCCCCAACTTCTGGTGCTCTGGTGACGCTTTTGTTTGAGGTCGGGGCGCCTGATCAGAAGAGCAACTGACCCACACACAAAAAAACACAGATCTCCCTATTGAATAGCCCTATTGGTACCTAACCATCCCAATCTTTTGGATACAAGTGTCCCTTTTTGCTTCCCTTTAAGGCCAGCCAAACAGAAGGGCTACCCTTTAACCAAAAAACATGAAAGTGCGGCCCCTTTTCCATTAAGTAGTCTTCTGACAAGGCTGGTGCACTCTCAACTTTTGTGGGGTCTTCAAACACGCACCCATTCGAAATGCCGCAAGGGGCCAGCCCAAGTTCAGGGGACAAAGGGAAGCTGGTGCTTCAAGCTCTCCCTGCACCCTGAAAGAGAATCCATCAAATCAACCATTAGCGGCAGTTACTTTCACTGCCCCAGCGGCCAAACTCTTGTTTAATGTTCCAAATGGCCCAAACCCAAAACGTGACTCAAGCCCGAAGCGGAACTCAGGTGAGTAGATTGGATGCAAGGAGCCACTGTACAGGAGTAGCCCTCAGGCAGCAAGACCTGCACTTGTGCCGCTTGCCCCGGAACCAGCTCCGTGCCCGTCTCGTTCGGCAGCCTCGTTTCCGGACGGAACAACTTCGTCAGGTGAGGCAATTTATACAGCAAAACCGGGCTGTCCTCGGATCCCTTGCTAAAAGTTTAATTTCTAGTGGGTCAAATGGAAACCCCCACTGAACTAACTAAAACCCTAAAACCGCCAAGAAAAAGGACATACAGTGACATACATACAATTTGGAACCTGTTCGGAAAATTAGAGCGTTGAGTGAAATTGAGTGACCCACGGTTTGTTGTTTAACAACAAGCCACGAACACGAATACAACATCAGCACGTGTAAGATTGCAACCAACATCAGTAGAGTCCCCCACGTTGTCAACCCCGAACTGGCCAAAGACAACTGGACAGTTTGACCAGACCCAAATAGCCCCTCGCCAAGGACCGAACCTAAGCAAGGAAGCAACACATAATCACGGTTCATTGTAACACCAAAGCTAAAGGGTCGATTGACACTGGCCCACCTGACAGTTGCACACCCTTCTGGAGGAACTATAGGAAGAAAGGGTAACGGAAAGTTGCTTGTCTCAAAGGGTCGAAATGTGTTGGTACCTGGGGTCTAGAGTAGCTTTGAGGTTACTTCCTGACCTGGGGTACCTCACTAGGGTGCAACTTTTCACAAAAGTCCCCTTGCTTGAGAACGGCTCCGGGCGCTTGAAAGTGGAACCAAGAGCTATGTTTTTCTTTGCGAGTCCGACCAAGTCTTGGACACCTCCAAGCTGTTGTCCAGGTAACTGGAAAGGGGTCCTTCGGCAACACAAAATATGCCAACTGCAATCTCTAGTCGCTTCCAGCCCAAGTCGTGATGGCTGCAACCAATGGACAGACATAAACATATACATAACATGAATCCGAAGAACCATACCCGCTACTCTAAATACCCTCTTTCTTCAGGGTATCATGTCGACCCTCCACATAAAAAAGGAGGTGTCTCCCATGGAAAACCAGGTTTTCCCCAAACATACCCTGAAGAAAGGGGGTAATTACGTTGAGTAGGGGGAATAGACACACACACACACACACACATATATATATATATATGCATCCAGAATGGGGCCACGTTTGGTTCTCCAAGGCGCTCGGCCTCCACTAGAAGCATATTCCTGGCCGGCACGGTGTCAGGCAGGTAAGGTCGAGCCACCTGCTGTATCGGGGGGGGGGGGTGCTTCCCAATTCCCAAGTGGAGGAGTCTCTAAATGGGACCCTCCCTCTGGATCAACCCAAAAGGTGGGTTTGGAGGAGGCCATGCCACCCATATGAGCCTGAGCAGTAGGTAGGTGGTAACCTCAGTACCTATTCCGGCATCCGCCCAAAAAGTCGATTGCAACCAAACCGATTTGCTGCCCTTAGGTATTCATCATCGTTGACTTGCTCACTTCCTGAGTGGCTCTGGCCAACAAAAAAACGAAGCTTCTTGTTTAGCACAAGTCCAGGAACTCAGGACATGAGCTTGGAACCGTTGTGGGAAGCATTGGGAATCCGATCCCTGGAAAATGGCCGTTTCCGCATGCCTCAAAAAGCGCTCGGCCCCTCCTCTTCCCTTTCCGGGTCGCGCCTCAGTGTGGCTCCGAGCCTCGCAAGAAACTGGAAACGCCATGGGACTTACCCTCCCCCTATGTCCTCCTCAAACCCCTGCATGAAACATGGGCAGCAGGTAAAAAGGGGTCGTTGTATAGCCCACTAAACCCCTGGGCGTAGCGGTTTGCGGGCAGTGGAAACCACGATAGAAAGCTGACTACTGACTACCTCTAAAATCTGCAAGTTGCCCACATCTGGGTGAGCTCAACGAAGAGGAGTCCAGCTCCCTCCATTTTTCCAAAACGAGGCCCCAATATGTGTTTACTCGCACTGTGGATTCAGCACACGTCCAAACTGTCCCTGTGCCACATCATCTTCCAACAACTGTTCGAGCAGCGGAACTCGAGTTCAAGGACCTTCGGAACGGACGGACACGCCCCGGGGGCTTGAAGGCCGAGCGAAAGCGTCGAAAGCGTCGAAAGCGTCGGGCGGTCGGGCGGCGTGAGGCGCACGATGATCTCATTGTCCCGCTCGAAGGCGAAGGGCTTCGGGCCGTTGCCCGCTTGGCCGTCCACCTACCCCAGCGTGGACGACGCGGAGGTACCGTGGAGGGTTGCGAAATCCATTTGGCTGTGGGTCAAAAATAGGTATCCAAAATGGTTGGCCCTGGGAAAGGGAAACATGGACTAAAACCTGCGGTCCCCTGGTGGTTTAATTTTGACCCATACCCATTTCGAACTTTGAAACCATGGGAAGCCAGGGTTGGTTGGCATGTACAGGGGAAGCATCATTCCAGGGCTTCTTAGCTGGTGCAGAATTTCGTCCATCCACCAGTGGGGGGCTCATGTTGTCTTCTAGGTCGGTAATTGTTTGGGTGAATGCTTAATGGAAACCAAAGGGTAACCACTTGTTTAGGGGTTCCCCTATGAATTTCAACGAAAAGGACATCCAAGCTGACGTTTTTGTCCCCACCCATGTTTGATGTCCAAAGGGTCCCCTATGAAAATTGAGACCCAAATGGATCACGCATGTGTGGCTTTCTCAACGATGTAGAAAATCCCGAAAAGTAGTGGTTTGGGGGTGCTGGTGATTTCTCAACTCAGGATTTTGACGAGCACTTTGGGCAAATGGTCTTGTACTGGTTTTGCTTGTGCTGACTGGGACTGGGAAGCCAAACAATCCAAAAAGACAGGGGTCAGTGTTTCAACTCGTCTGGGCAATTTGTCTGTGAAGGAGCCTTCTCAGTACACAGTTATTTAGGGAACCCTCTGCTATACATGTTGCACACTAGCATGGAACCTGGCTGGAGGTCCCCAGAAAACGATGTTCCTCCTAAAGGGACCTTGGTGGGTGGGCTTCTTGGTAGTTGGTGGAAGGGTTTTTGTGGGGAAAATTCCCCTTGATATACATGGGTGGGTGAGCTCTTTGTTTCTCCCTTTGATGGGGGGTAGGGACGTGACACAAAAGACATTAGGAGTTGTCCGCCCAACTTCCTCCCCTTTTTGCTAGTTTTGTTACCCAGGTATCACCGAAATGCGCACCGACCAACCTAGTTCAACCACAACCCTGTGCGTGAAGGCGTCACCCTCATACCCGCAATGCACACCTATCCCCACCGCCAACTAGCAATACTAGAAATCGTGAGGGAAGGAATCGGACATGTCAAAAAGAACTTTACTCCAGTCTCTACCTCTGTCGGTCTAGGAAAAGTCTACCCACAGATCAGCTCGCCCGTTTCCGGATCCGAGGGGCGAGGATCTGGCCGGTGGTGACCCCCGGCGCGGGGGCCTTCTTCATACAGGGCTCCACCTCTACCACGGAGGGGGGCCTCGGGATATCAGTTCCATGGCGCCCGCCTTTGGTGGCCTTTGGTGTCGTTTTTTCACGTGGAGCGGGTTCAGTTTTCCTCGCTACCTTTTGCCGCAAAATGACCTGACCTACAGACTGGAAGGGCACTAAAATACAAGGGAACCGCAATGAATATGTCGAGCTTCCCTTCCAAGAACTCTCATGGATTCAGATATGCAACTCAGCTGTGAGAAATGGAAACACCTGTCCTCCCGATTCAACGAGGACACGTTGTGAGAAATTGGAAAACTGTCCTCCCTAAAGCCTCCCTCTTCATCGTAGATTATAGCCAATTCAACGAGGACAAGTTGTGAGAAATTGGAAAACCTGTCCTCCCTAAAGCTTCCCCCTGAAGCCTCCCTCTTCATCGTAGATTATAGCCCATTCATCGAGGACAAGTTGTGAGAAATTGGAAAACCTGTCCTCCCTAAAGCCTCCGTCTTCATCGTAGATTGTAGCCAGCTCAACTGGGACAAGTTGTGAGATATTGGAAAACCTGTCCTCCCTAAAGCCTCCCTCTTCATCGTAGATTATAGCCAATTCAACGAGGACAAGTTGTGAGAAATTGGAAAACCTGTCCTCCCTGAAGCCTCCCTCTTCACCGTAGATTATAGCCAATTCCACGAGGACAAGTTGTGAGAAATTGGAAAACCTGTCCTCCCTAAAGCCTCCATCTTCATCGTAGATTATAGCCAATTCCACGAGGACAAGTTGTGAGAAATTGGAAAACCTCCTCCCTAAAGCCTCCCTCTTCATCGTAGATTATAGCCAATTCCACGAGGACAAGTTGTGAGAAATTGGAAAACCTCCTCCCTAAAGCCTCCCTCTTCATCGTAGATTATAGCCAATTCAACGAGGACAAGTTGTGAGAAATTGGAAAACCTCCTCCCTAAAGCTCCCGCTTCATCGTAGATTATAGCCAATTCCACGAGGACAGGTCGTGAGAAATTGGAAAACCTGTCCTCCCTAAAGCCGCCCTCTTCATCGTAGATATTAGACAATTCAACGAGGACAAGTTGTGAGAAATGGGAAAACCTGTGCTGCCCAAAGCCTCCCACCAGGTCATGTATACTCCAAGCGTGGCCAGGCAAGTGCGACACAAGTCATGTACTCCAAGCGTGGCCAGGCAAGTACAATACAAGTTTGCACTGGGTAAGGGCATGTACACTTGCGACCACTAGGAGTTGTTGCCGCGCGGCCGTTCCAAAGTACAACTTCGGCACTGCTCAAAACTGGAAATCTTTAGATGTTTCTTCAAGAAATTGAGCAGTTCTTTCAACACAACTGTGCTGTCCCTTTAAAAAAATGAGCTGTTCCTGAAACAAAGGCTCCTCCTTCAAGAAAATGGCTGCCCGCAGTGATTGGTTTTCACAATTTTAGAGCCCCGAGTGCTCAAACTGCACTCAAACTTCATCCAAACTGCATTCAAACTGCATCCTGATGCACTTTTGTTTGAAACTGATCCAAACTACATCCAAACTACATCCAAACTACATCCAAACTGCAATATGATGATGCAGTTTTGATCCAAACTTCATCAATGGGATGCAGTTTTGATTCAAACTGCATTGAAACTGCATTCCGGTGAGGTTCTATATCAAAAGTGCATTGGCGTATTGCAGTTTCATGTGTCGCCAACGCAGTTTCGGTTCCAACTGCATCGTGGTGGTGTAGTTTGGGTGCAGTTTGGATGCAGTTTGGATGCATTTTGGCAGGGGCTTCATTGTTTTTGAGTCACGGAAACTCTGACCAACTCACAAATTGCCCAATCCGCACCTTTTTTGCCAAACAGATCAAGAGTGAAAATTGGGCCACCCTGAGCGGCGACAGCAAGCACGCTGCCCGAAGCGGTGGCAGCAGTCCCGCACCAGCCTTACGAAACCTTGTTTCCAAAGTTCTAGCACAATTCGCAAAGAGCGCTTTGCATTCCTAGGAGTTGCTCAAATTCTCTATTGGCTGGGTGGCCGCGCTCTTATACATTAAATGCAGAGTTTTCAGGCCAGGGCACAGTATACAAGTCAAGGCCGCTATACATGACTACATGGTGGGCTCTGAGTCACTCATGCGTTAGTCACTTCAATTGGCTACAAGTCGGGGCCCCTTGACTCGCAAGCACTGATCACCTCAGTGTTGGACGGCGGCGTTGACTCATGTCGTCGAGACTCTCCTGGATTTCCTCCAGGCGACCATGACCTGCGCCTCGAAAGCCGCCAGCAAGGCGTGCGTTGCGGCGAACTGGTCACGCGCCATAGCACGGGTATCTTGCACTAATCTGAAAAAGTTCGAAAAAGGAGCTCCCGGAATAAAATAACATTTCATCACAATCGCAAAGCTGACAAGTGTGGAAGGCCTGCGCAGTACAAGCGCCAGTAAAGAGTCAAACGCCTGAAGCGAAAGTGGCAACCGTGCAAGCGGAAGGCCACGCAACGCAACCAAAGGGGCCCAGCAAGATAGCTGAAAAGGGCCTGCGAAGCGCCTGCGCAATACAATAAATAGTGCAATTGCGGAAGGCCTGCGTGCTCTATCCACGTGTGATGGGCACGCATGGCAAGCAATGGGTCTGCGTATCGTGATGTGTACAAACTTTTCTCGCACAAAAAAGCCGTCGAATGCAGCCGATGTCACAATGGACATCCTCGCGCGCAAACTTAAATTAACTGGCGGCTTTGTTCCAACTTCAAAACTGCCAGGCCGCACCCGAACAAAGATCCCAACCAATGCCAGTGCGCCGCGTGAAACTCTTTGGTCTCAGAAAGAAATTTGGCAGCGTCCCCCAGCTCCCAAACAAGTACATCCAGGTCCGGATGCACGGGAGCCCCACACTCAGTCGCCGCTGGCAACGTAGATGGCAACAAGGTTGCGTCCGGGTTCACGTACTGCCGCTCCAAATTGCATCGGATGCGCGGCAAGCAGTTTGCAAACCAAGCCAGGACGTCGTGGGGCTTCCCATCCAATTTGCTCTGCACGCAGTTTCTCACCAGCTCCACCTCGCCACCGCCAAGCCGCCGTTGCTCCTCCTTGTCCGGGCGCGACGGCGCACGCTTCATCCGCACACGTGTTCATGGCCCAGAAAAGCCTTGTGTAGAGGACAAGTAAATATAACACAGCTGCGGCAAGCACGCAGGCGTTTGTGGCACACAACTTGGAGTTCGTATAGCGCAAGTACAAGCCTCACGGTACAAAGAGGCATGTGGCGCAAGTGTCCTGTATAGGATAGGTGTACAACCCAAGGGCTGCGCGCAGGGCAAATATACAAAAGGCAGAGAACTGTTGCACACAAGTTTGTACCTGCGACAGCTTGTGATTACTTTGCAGCTCTTGCTTGCTTTGCGGCCTGTGACAAACAGTGTCTGGGCTTTCTAGACTCTGGGCCGTGGTTCCTATACAATGGGTGTGCGTCGCAAAATCTCTGACATTTTTCTCAAGCTCTCACACTTCAGGGCTTCGCACTCACATCCTCCCGCCACGCTGCGCTTAAACAAACACGAGAGAAACACAAATAATTGCGCGTTTACAAGGGTGTTCATATGCATTTGCGTGATTTTGCCTCGTAACTTAGCTGCGCTATTTAGACTACAAATTTAGACTCGGCGCAGCTTTGTAGTCTTTAGGCTCAAAGGATCTATCAGCTATTGAGGCGATGACCGTCATGGGATTCACCCCCCGTCCCCTTGTTCCCCCCAACAAAGGCCTTTTACCTGGCCTCATTCAGGCCTTATTTGGAGGGAACTAGTGGGAGGCGGCGGTGTGGGCGTTAGATGACACCTCCCCCAAAGCCGCAAAGGACAAGAGGACTCCGCAAGCCATGTGAGAGCATCGAGCCTTCCAACCGATCAGATAGAATTCGCAATTTCTGGGTTTAGGTTGGGGCAATGCAGGTGCCCAAATCATTGGGAGGTGGGAAGGGGGCCATGAAGAAGGCCCATCTGGCATCAGCCAGTCCCCAGATCTTTGGGCGTCCACGCATGCCATCCTCGGAGTACGTCGCCAGCATGCAGGTTTTGAAGAAGCCTCCGCTTCGAAGGGACGCACTTGCGCAAGAGGAGAGATTTGGATGGGGCCTTTGAAATTCGAGGGGTCTTTGTTCTGACCCCTTACTGTACCTTGGGCATGCTAAGTGAGAGAGTTTTCTTTTCTCATGCCAGGTTCAGAACCCCGAAAAAATGGTGACATGCTTGATTTCTCTTCTTCTGCCCTTGGAACTCCTCGAGCAATTGGGGGGGGGGGCAATTGAAACGGTTGCCGAGTTCTCGGAACTATTGCTGGGGGCCCTTGTTTCCCTTCGGAGAGGGGAACAAAAACAGCATAAAGAAGAAGGATAAATTAAGGCGGCTGCAAAATGGACCCCAAGTGTCCATCATACTCCTCCAAGACGCCCATCTTCATCTACAGCCACAGGCAGTTTCAAGAGGCCAAATCCCTGGCTCAAGTTGGTCGATTCGAGAAGGAAAAGCCAACAATTTTTCCCAAATGCGCTGGAGGGAGCAATGCCACCTCGAGGTTTGCCTCAAAGACAAGTCCGAAATCTTTGGCTCTGGCTCTGACCTGCCGCCCGTAGCGACCCAAGGCCAA